CTGAGCAGCCAAAGGCCGAGATGATAGCGCGTATGAAGAGGGAGCGCACATACGAGGAATTCTTTGGGAAGTCCAGCCATGTGCGCAGGGTGCGCTGAATGAAGTCGATGGATGCAGTGTAACGCCGATCAGCGGTGAAACGAGCTCTTGGCATGGTGATGGAATGGGGGGGAAGATCAGGAAGGAAGTCCTGGCGCTGGAGAGTGACCAAGTCATACGACTTGAAGCCATCGTTCACCGCAATGGCAAGACGGCCAAGCCAGTCATTGGCAGCAGCGGAGGGAGCAGAGGATGAGAGAAACCTTGAGCAGTAGTTGACAGGAACACAGTCCAGCCAGAGCCAAGCATAGTAGTTCATCATCATTATTTCAGACCTAAGAACCGCGCGCTTGAGGTGCTGCAGGGAGTCATCCCGCTCGTACCTTGTCTGTGCAGACCAGTTCTGCAATCATTCTAAGTCAGAAATGCAACCTAGACATGGAACAGAGACACATACACGTTGCAGCAAAACTGCAAACCCAACAGAGCGCGCAGCTGCAGAGTCCTTGCTCTCCATAGCATCAAGCAGGCCATCAAGAAGCTGGCGTGAAACAGATCCGGCAGCTGAATCCTCAGACTGCAGAACACTGGCAACATTGCGCAGCATCTGGTTTGCAGCCTGGAACTTTGCTGCAGTGAACAGCGAGAGAGCAACCACATACGCTAAGTTGAACATGAGCCTTGGTGTCCAGAAATAAAAATAGCAACTCACACTTTGCACTTGCACTTCCTGATGACTGAGCTGCAGGAGACAAGACAGGAGCTTCCTGGGTCTCATCCTCGTCATCTTATGCAATGAACAGAGGTCAGTCAGGACTTTATGCTGAGAATGCAAAAAAGCGCACCTTCATCTTCGGACTCAGACTCATCTGCAGTGCGTGCAGACAACTTTGGAGGGACCATAAGTGCATCCAGAGGCACATACAGCAGGGATTGACCATCCTCTCTGTCAGACACTGTAGGGTCTAGAGGGAAAATGAATAAAATGAGGCACTACTTTACAACAGACTTCTTACTGGGACCACGCGGCCGCAAAGTCATACCTCCCCCATGCTGAGATGGCCCAGCAGAACTGCTAGGCTGATCTAGAGCAGGTCCGTCCACAGCCATAACACGTGTAGCACGATGGAAGGCCTATAACTTTACGGGCTGCAAGGGAAAGGTCAGTAAAATATAAAACCAAACAAATATCAAAAGTAATCGTACCATCTCCATTTTCTAAGTCCAAACGTGCTGTAAAAACATGAGATGAAGCACAAACCATGACAGACAAAACTCTTACCTCGTTGGGCAGGTCTCTCATCAGAATCCATACCATCCTCCACCTCTGCGTGAGCACACTTCTTGCCCTTGGCTGGCTTGGACTTGGGCTTAGGCTTCGCCTTCTTGCCCTTGGACGGCACAGGAGCTTTCTCTGCAATGTGTATATGAGCAGACAGGCACAAGGAACAACAAAAAGACATACTGGGTTGCTGGGATCCTGCAAGAACAGTCAGAAAAACAGTAAAGTTGAATAATTACAGTACTTACTTCTGGGACGTGTAATGGGAACAGGTGCAGGGTTCTCAGTCCCCATCTCTTTGCGGAGGTCCACAATGCGATTGTCATATGTGGCTCGTGGAATGACAGCCGCATAACGCAGCTTGTGCTCCTTCCACTCCCTCCAAGCCTGAGCGCGTGCAAGGATGGTTTCATGCACGTACTCAGGCTCATCAGGCCGATGTTCAAGGACAGGGACCAAGTCCGTGTCAGTGAATGTGATGCACTGGCCCTCCTCATCAACCGCAGAAAACGCGCTGAAGAACACGTCTGGGTTAAGAGAAGGACCAACATCGGCTTGACGCCAAAGATGGAAGACAAGGTTATACAGCTGGTGCACCATGAAAGACGCAACAGTGTGCCTGTCTCCAATGTTGAGACCATCAACAGCGTAGTTGAGGTAGTTACTGTAGATCTTGTGGTCGCGGTCATACCTGCATGCACATGAGCAAGACTGCATAAAAATGAAGTCAAGACTTACGTTGGATTGTACATCTCAGGCGGGATGTTGATGGCCTTCTGCCCAACTGCACCAAGCGCAAGCATGGAGTTCCCATCCATGACACGGCTCATGGGGTACATGACATGGTTTAGACGCACAGCGTCCTGTGCAATATTGTCAGAGACATACGGGCTCATTCCCATGTGCCAATGAAGGCCAGAGAACAAGACAGAGAGTAGGCTAGACCTCTCTGACTCATCCTCTGTGAACCCGTTCGGCAGCCGCACAAACGCGTAACACTCAGGGAAGAGGAAGAGCCCGGGGTGGATGCCCGCGTGCAACTTTGAGAAAACGGTCATGACAGACATTGCACCTATGGAGTCATGCTCGTCTTGATGCACGCCGCCAAAGAAACCCAGACTGTCAGACAAGTCCATGGGTCCTGCAGTAAATCAAGCTAAGTCATCACAAATAACAAAAAGGCAAAAAACGGACCTTTCTGGAGCTTATCAAGGTAGTCAGGCGTAGAGACATTCAGCTGGCTTCCACCAAAGCAGACGTTGCTCATGGTCCCAGGGCGGAAGTACCCCAGGAGCTTAGCATGCAACTCCAAACGGTGGTAAAGCTCAGGCTGGACAGTGCGGATGATGTGTACACCCAGCTCACCGCCCACCTGCAGACAAGTCAGACAAGTCCCAAGAAAGCAGATAGAAGCGTACCTTTGCAAGCTCTCTACGGATCTCAGCATCCTCACCATCCCCTCCAGTGAATGATTTAGCCTCCACGTTGGGTGCCAGAACACCATTCTGCACCTGCTGGGACTGCGTGATGGCATAGATGCGCTTACGGTCCTTGGTACCCTTCAGGCCCTTGCTCAGCACAAGTCGCTCGAACTCGGTGCCCTTGATCCACTCCCCATTTGCTGCCTTGACAGGCACCTGACGCGAGCACTTCTCACGTGGCCCCATCACACGGCTGCAAGAGTTGAGGTAACGCTGCACAAGTGGGACAGGCATGTCCCTGCAAGACATCAGCCATGTGCATGTATCAGAACACTATAATGACTCACTTCTGTGCCACAATGGAGGCACGCACCAAGGCCTGCAACCAGAAAGCAGCACGTTGTGACACGTTAAGGTAGGCAGCAAGGCCCAGCATTGTGTCACGGCCACGCAGACGCAACCATCCTGCTCATACATAAGCTAGGGCTGCATATAAGGCACACAAAACTCACCTATGTCCAACACATGCTCCTCTGCAACATGCGGTAGGTTCCACTCCGTTGGCTTCCTCGCAGTTGTGGCAGCAGCAGCAAGCTTGCTGTTGTCTATAATGTAGAGGTAGCAATTGCCAGTGGGATCTCCCCGGTGAGGATTGAGAGGGTGGTCGTTGAGACGGATGATGGGAGGATAGGACTCTGGACGGTTAGGGATGTGCACCCACTCGCCTGGCAGCTCAGTGATGACCCAAGCAGGGATCCCATACGGATATGCCAAAGAAAAGCTACAGAAAGGTCAGTACAAACCAACAGATAGTCCTATTCACTACTCACTACACCCATTTGTCCTCCTTGTACTCCAATCGCCCAGGAAAACCGTCAGGTAGCTTAGGAAAATCCGGTGTGGGCTACAAGTTCCAAAAGTCGGAAATAAACAGGCATTTAGCCCAAATACTAGTAGAATAGTGACAAAGTATTACTTACCATGACTTTAAACAGGTATTTCGGGATGGATGGCAGAGAGGGAGAGTTGCAGAGGCTGAGCAGGGCCAGCAGATGACGGTTGAGGAGAGAAAAGCACAAGTTGGTGCGCAGCCGCTGATGACTCATGGCGCACCTGTGTGCCGACCAGCCAAACTCAGCGGGGCTTGGCGACGTTTCGGGCTCCGTGCGTGTGCCGAGGCTCGCACACATGCGGAGCCCAAAATTGTGGCTGAGGGCGCTCGAGCGATCCTAGCTGCTCAAGCACCCAGAACCACCCCATCCGCGTCGAACAATGTGACGCGAACGTCCCGCGGTGAGGCGGGAGGGAGTAGAAGGGGACAAAGGCACAAAAGGTGAGTAAAATAGGCCAAATAAGTTGCTGCACTCGCCCTGAAACAGGGCTGCAAGACCTGGCAGCCAGGTCTTGCAGCCCAGTGACTAGTGACAGGGATACCGGCACGAAAGCTCCACGCTTCCGCGCGATTGAAGTATCGTCCGATTCTCCTGATACAGGAGAGTCGGACAGTCTTGGATTCACGCGGTTTCGTGAGGTGCCGCCGACGCAGCAAATCCGCGAAGATCGCACGCGCGCCAGCCACCCACCACCTGCTGCTCCCCCCACCGTTCCTCCCGCCGGCAGCAAAACCGCACGAATGCGGTATCGTCCGACTCTCCTGATGCAGGAGAGTCGGGTGGTATTGGTTCCGCGCGGTTTCACGCGGTCCCGACGACGCCGCAAGCCCGCCGAGCTTGAGCGCGCCCTAGCCACCTGCCACCAGCTGCCGCCCCCACCCCTCCTCTCGTCGTGGACGATACCTCGCGAATGCGGTGTCGTCCGACTCTCCTAATTCAGGAGAGTCGGGCAGTACTGCTTTCACGCGGTTCCATGAGGTGCCGCCAACGCAGCACGTCTGCCAACATCAGCCGCGCACTGGTCGCCAGTGCCTAGCTGGTGGCTGCGCTTCCAGCGCTTACGCGAAGTACAACCATTCTCTTCTCATAGGCTCCTCCACTTGTCCCTCCCGACCACCCGACCACCACTGTTCTGGAGTGACACACTGTGGCCACCACCTCGGCGACACACCTGCGTACCCGTCGTCAACATAAATAGACGGGCCGGAGACTCAGATGGACATGACCTACAATCCGGGTGTCTTGCAGCTGCTGCGCCCCCCCGGATCAGTAAAACTACAGATTGCTTTAACTGGCTTAGGCGGCTTCGTGTGGCTTCGCATGGCTTGACAACTCACTTGATGTGCTTAGCTGTCTTAGATGGCTTACCGTTTGCAGGCTGTTACTACACCAAACTTGACACGCTAAGCCATTAAGCATCATTAAGCACCACTGTAAGTACACATGTGTTTGATGTAAACTAAGCCATTTGAAGCACCACAAGTACATGGGCGTAGCCAAACAAATATGACCGGGTCACCCCAAGCGACCCACGTCAATTGGGATTTCGTGCAATTCTTTTGACAGCCCTGTCAGGGGCTTCATCAGTCAGATGAGGATCAGACATCTGAGCAAATGCCACCAAGCACTAGACAAGAGCGCTTAACAAGGGCAATTTTCCTAAACGGGCGTCTACATCTATCATTAAAGTTGCACTTCCATAACACCACAACATTGATCCTCCCTGGCATCACAATTCCTGCGGCTATGTCTGCCCCCACGCCCATCACCGACCATACCGCCACCACGGTCATGTCAACAGCTCAACCCACGCACGAGACAGCTGGGCCCTGGTATATGTATTGGGTCAATCCAGCCACTATGGCGCCCATACAGAACCCATTCTTGTCCTTGTACATAGACAGGACCACTCGTAACAATGCCAATAGTATGTTCATGAATGAACAGCAGGCACTATTGGGACTACTGCAATGCTACCGGCAGCAGCAATGACAGTGGACAGAACTTCAATGCAACGGATCGGGAATCAGTAGATGAAGACATGGTCAACTCCCAGGCCAAGCCTTTTGAGTGCATGCCAGCAGAGGCCTACGAAGGGATGACTGACGAAGAAATCCTGGAGACCTTTGACCAGCGGCTGAAGGCAATGGAGGAAAAGTGGACACAGCTGATGGCGGAAGCAAATGACGAGATGACTGAAGAAGAAATCCTGCGGAACCTTGACCAGCGGCTCACAGCAATGGAGGAGATGTGGGCGCAGCTCACGGCAGATGCAGAGGATGAAGTAACAGATGAGGAAACCCTGCAGACCCTTGATGAACGCTTGGCAGCAATGGAGGAGCATTTGATGCAAATGATAGCGCGAGCACAAGCTCATAACTAGATAGTCTGGTATAATCTGGCTATACCCTGGATACCTAGTCCCTCTGCTCGCTATAGTCAGATGGTCGCCTATGTCACTCTCCTCAAAGTCATGTGTACAAATACAATACTCTTTGGACATGGGATAGCAAGGTCATAGAAGGAGCTCCACAATAAAATGTATCGTTGATTACTGATTGACACTATAGACAGCCAACAGAATGTGGCCACTGCCATGGTAGCCAGCCAGCCAGCAAGATATATGATTGCTGTCCCCAGTTTCCATATTGGGCGCCACTGGAGTGCGTTTCATGGCCCCTCACCCCAGGACAGAGCAGCCAGCCACAGCATTCATTTGTATGTGTTGGTGCAAGTCGCGTCATCTGGGAGTTTCAAATTTTGACTCCCGCTGATGGGACAATAGTATCAGTTACTTATCTCTCATTATCTGGGCTTCAAGAAGTCACGTGTACTCCTTCCATATCAGGTGCCACTGTAAGGTGTTTCATCCCCTCCAGTCATAAGAACGATTCCTTCGTACCTCAGGGATCGTAAACAGAATCTCAGTGATAAAGATCTCTTTGACCTATTCAAAGTGGTAAGAGGTTGTGAAAACCCTGATAATGCTTGGTGATGTGTTACCAAAATGGAGTCTACCATTATAACTCAGTAATTGATTCGTATAATCATCATTTACCAGGCATACAACAGCAATTATATCAGTACGGAAGGATCTGATGATAACTTGAATGAGCAGGAACACAGTAGAAATTGGGAAATAGTCACACCAATAGTCCAGATAGTATATGCATTGTTAAGTGCTTCAAAGCATTGAAATGTCAGTGTCCAAATATCTTGGTAATAGTAAAATGAAAGCATACAATGATGACAAGTGAATTTCTGACAGAAAAGATAGACAGACTTAGAATACACATTCAAAACATCCAACAGATGTAGCCACTTGCTAATGAAAAAAGAATGTGGTTTCCTTCCATGAGCTCCAAGGCCATCTGCCTCAGGAACATGTATTTCCAACTTCCCCTATTGAGCCAGTGTTCTCATTGAATCTCTACCCATTAATTTCTTTTTGATTTTGAGTGATGGCATGCACATTGGCATAAAATACACAATGCTGAGTGGCCCTCTATGTGGTGATACAGGCATAGGTTGGATGGACAGAATAGGAATGTGGAGATGTATTCTGGTGGTAGTACCATATAGTATTGATCCAACATGTAAGTATGCTTCATTTTGCCTGGTACAACACGAATACCTGCTGGAATCCCTGTAGTGAAGTCAGAACATTCAATGGTTTTCATTGGATGTGACGTAGAGGTGTTGCCACAACAAAAAATGTGGGCAGCACGAAGTTGTTGACAAGTTTCAACTTGCCAATATTGGTACAGCACTATATAGCCATTGTCAGTCATTTCAACCAATATTTTATCAGAAATCACATGAGCAGCATTGTAGTAGCCATCTTGAATATTGGGCTGCAAACGCAAATGCAGTCAGATGACTTGCACAGAAGCTATCACTGTTGTGAAGCAACACCACAACAATTGTCATGCATGCCCTAGTTTAGTAATGATTATTGAGCTCAGATCAACTAGCAAACCACCAACTCACAGGGAAATCCTTCTACCCCATATAGTAGCCAGATACTGTCTGTGAGTATGTTATATGGTTATATGAATCAGATAAGTGGGAGAGAAACCAAATTTAGTCGGAATTCTCTGTGCTTGGTGTGCAAATGGGGCCCTCATTAGTGAGCTACATGGTAAAGTGATACCCAAGATCACATCTATGTAATGACACATACCATTGTGGACTTTTGGGGTATTTGTTGATTTTACCAAGGCCATGGAAGAGCAGCAACACTCAAAAGGGCAGTTTTGACCAAAAGTAGCAGTACACTAAGGGAAAGTCATCATTGTCCTGCATAGCTACTGTCTAAGGAATCTTATGAACTGTATGTCTGATGAAAGATGCCCTGGATCCAATATCCCAGTTTTGCATTTTTATTCAGCAGTCTAGCAATGATACAACTTCCCTATCCAGTGGGTCTAAGTATGTGGATATGCTGTGTTGTTCATTTGAATCATGTGCATGAAGTAATAAAAAACCCCAGGACACTACAGCAAACTGATACCCATTATAGAGTCTATAGTATGAGGACTACTAGCATGAGTATTTTGAGGTGTTTTGGATTCAATCAAACTTGTGGCTGGGCTGAGAATGGTGAATCCTGTTAAGGACAATTGCTTTTTGCAGCAGTTTGCAACAGAGTCTGGGAGACCGCAAGATGACTTGTTGAATTTTGACCTGTCAACAAGTGAACCTCATGTGGCATGGGGCTTATTGAGTGCTTATTGCACAATGTAGCCTGAATCATTACAAACCTTCAAAGTACACATCAGTAACAAATGATACAAGCATACTATACGCTTCTGAAAGCCCTTCATTCAGAGGATATAAAGGGTGAATGCTATTACAATGGCTAGTGCAGCCACAAAATGCAAAACAAAAAAACTCACATGTGCCTCTGCATCTACAAAGGTGGAGCCACATACCAGAAACAGCAGCAAGTGGATTGTGATGTACACTACAGGACACAAAGGTGCTTATAGGCATACAATTGCATTCTTAGAGATCATTTACCAGGTGCAAAGGACTACAAGCATGTCACCGAGGCATTTGTGTGAATTTTTATTTTGTAAATTGTGCCCCGAGTACTGAAGTGCACAAGAAGGTAAGAATAGCAATAAACTCTATATTATGAGGGCTACAAGGCATAATATTTTGAAGATTTTATGGATTGTATTGGCCTATAGTAGCACAGTAACCATGGTACTAATGGCCTTGTGGCTGAATTTAGAACTCAGCCCAAACATCGGCAGGCCTGCCTTAACAGGGCAAGGAAATGGGCTTATCAGCCAATCGGCATCTCTCACCTGCCGCACGGAGTTGCATCCACCTGGAATTTCCAGGTGGAACTCCAAACGGCGCACGGGCGCTTAGTAAGCGATGTAAGCCTGTTACTTCTCTTAAACTAGCTTGTACAGATCTAAACAAATGCGGGGAAATCAGTGAATATTCTCAAAAGCATAGACAATGAATTGCAAGGCTCCGATTGAGAAGGAAGACTCTATTTAATGTTACACCTTCAATACATTTACATTGGTTGCTGTATCAGCAGCCCAGTGCTTACAGAAGCAATACATTAGGCTCTAGTCACTGTGTGTGTAGCACACATACTCCCACAGATGTTAGGCATGTATCATACATGCAGTGTTTAGTCAGAGGGGCCCAGATGACGTCTATGAGTGTGCTGTTCTGTGTACTGCCATAAGTAGTAGGCAACCTGCCCAATAAGAAAACCACAGCTGATACAGGGCAAATGGGCTTGTTATGAGCTTGTAAAAATGCGCAAAATCCTGATAATATATTAGGAAACTAAACAGGTACAGCTGGTCATCATAAATGACACAAGTCAGTGATAGACATGACACATAAGCAATTATATGCACACTAGTGGTCAAATTGCCCAATATTGCTCATCTTTGCTGTATCACAGAAGCAACTTGACACATACAAAGTCATTCAACTGCATGAGGTCACTGTCCTGATGATTCAGTGATTATCTGGAGCAGACAGAGGTGCTTTGACTTATGCAGAGGCACATGTAGATTTTTTTTGTTTTGCGCTTTCCAGCCCAACCAGCCACTGTAAGTGCTTAGGAATATTACTGTATACTCTTTGAACGGATGGCTATCAGATGGGCATACTATGTCTACTATGATCACTTACTAATTGACTGTATACAGTGTGAGCGCTGGCAGGCCACACCAGCCAGCCAGCCTGTAAGTCACATGATGAAAGCCACCAGTTGCCATATTGGGCGCCACTGGAAGGTGTTTCATGGGCCCTCATCCCAGGACAGAGCAGCCAGCCACAGCATTTATTTGTATCTGTTGGTGCAAGTCGCGTTGTCTGGGAGTTTCAAATTTTAGGTCCTGCTAATAGGACATTAGTATCAGTTACTTATCTTTGCTTATCTGGGCCTCAAAAAGTCACGTGGACTCCTTCCATATCGGGCGCCACTGTAAGGCATTTCATGCCCTCCAGTCATAAGAACAATTCCTTCGTACCTCAGGGATCGTAATTCTGCAGACTGCTTGACTTTGACAATGTACGCCATAAGCTGTCTGCTCCGCAAATAGCTGATGTCGCAGGAGAAGTTGCGCAAGCGACATTTTCCGGTCTCGAACTCCGACAGAGCCCAAAGGGCTGCACAGCTCGCCAGAGCTACAAGGGCATCTGGGATGCTGTTTGCTGCGAAAAGGTGGGCATAAGTTTGACCCAGCCCTCCAGGACGCTGCCAGACAGCATTGTCGAGAATTTGGGCCACTAGCTGGTGTTGCTCAAACGGAGCAATAACTCGGCCCTTATTCAGAATGTCAGTCAAAATAAACATTTGTAACTTATGTAGCTCTCACCGTTTCCGGATCCAGGACATGCAGAAGCCTTGTAGCACGAGGTGGTGCTGTGATCTGCGCTTCAACAATTGTACCCCAGTCTTTGCATAGCTGCTCAATGCTCATTCCAGCATTGTAGTCAGCTGGGCCAATGGAGTCGTGAGCAATGGCCGGCAGTAGGATAGAGGCAGCATTCTTGAGATAGCCGCGAAGAGTCACAGGGAACTCCTTGATCTATTGAAGCTATGTGAGATATTATGGAACAACGATGAGCTAAGACTTACCGCTTTGATCAACTTCTTGTCAGCAAGCGCATTGAAGGGCTCCTTACCACCGCCAATTGTGACAGTGTCCAGCCGCTGCTCCTGCAGCCCCATCAAGATTGACTTTACCTTGGATTCCAGCACTTTCCCCCCTGCAAAGGGTTCCACTGTCACCGTGTACTCCTGAATCAGCCCCTTCGCCGCCTCTATGTACACCTCACAACATGTCTTCTCCTCTGCGGCTGTCAGCTTGACAAGCCGTGGCTGAGCCATTTCTGAGAAGAATTGCTGAAAAGATGCAGGTGTTGCAAGCCCTGGAAACCCTGGCACCGGGAAGTTGTCAGCTAGAGGCTGACTCAGTGGATCTGGGATGGTAGGCGCAGATAACTAAACAGGTACAGATGGCATACAAAGGAATGGCTGTGCTATCTTTAGGCTGTACACTGAAAATGCGGACTCTTGCATGCCTCAATAATGCATTGGGAAACACAGTCCTGAAACAGTGGTTGTACTGTGGCTGTACTAGGATGACTCGGTAACATAGCTTGCTTCGTTGGAAACAATGAAGTGTAAGGCTATGATCCTATTGTTCTCCTAGAATGGCCTCTGAAGCGGTGTAAATGAGTCAAGGACATGTACTATACAATTCTATGACACTCCTTGATTTTCTAATTTCTTCCATGTAGCTCCATTGGCTGTGTCCTCAGTAATGGCATAAAAGGCCATTCCTGAGCACAGTTAAGGACATCATCACTCTACTATCTACTCTTCACCAAAACTCACCCTGTGTGCCACTCAAAGGCTTACTGTGCTCCGGGTGCTAAGTTAGCCATACTAGCCACTCAACCACTCTTGCCGAGTTCTTACTGATTTACTCTAAGACCTGTGACAGTGAAACCTTACTTAGTACAGTCCTTGTGCTACTAGTAAGGTTTAAGTAACTCATTGACTGACTTCATGAGTTGGTTTCAGTAAGAGAAGGTGCTTAGTCACTATCTCATTCTGTACTTCGTTACCAACATTAATAGATCTCTGTATCAGCTAGCCTGTCTCAGTGGCATTACTATAATTTAAGTGGTTAGCTCACTTGACACTAACAAGCAAGACTCATATAGCCATGTGCTGAAAATTGCCTTAGTGAGCCCCTCTTGAGCATATGCCTTGCACTGCTACATTAGGGTTTTGTAACTTGCCATTGTCACTGTGCAGTCAAAGCTAGTTGTTCAGACTTCCAATCAACTTCTGTTGTGTGAATTCAAATCCGAAAAAGCCCATTCAATCCCACCCTCTTTTGTATTTGTTGTGGACCTGGCCTCATTACAGCTCAACTTTGTGCCATCTTAGTAATTGCATTGCCGAAGATTACCGAGGTTTTTACCATTTGTTACTGCTTTGTATAGGCAATACAAATCTCTATTACCAAGCTTACTATTCCTATTGACTCGGCAATAAACTTGGTAACTAGCTGTCAATAAATCAAAAACAGAATCATAACAATTGTCAAGCCCCAAGCCACCCAGATCCTTGAAGTTCTGAACATCATCATTGGGGTTCAAGAATATATCTTGACCCATCTGTGCCAGCTTGTTGGACAGATAGAGCAGTGCAAAGTTATCTACAGATGAAGCTGTCTCAGAGCATGGCCGCTTGTTTAGATGAGATATTGCTGTGGCACTGAGCGGCAAGGTCAGGTTATGCAATGGGCAGAATTGCCAAAAAATCTGCATGAACACACCAATGACCAACTGAATGGACAATTATGATCCCTGAGGTACAAAGGTATTGCTCCTATGACTGAAGGGGATGAAACACCTTAAAGTTGATCTCCTTTTATGGCAGGAGGCTCCCGCAGTGCATGTGACACATTGTAGCCCAGATAAGCAGAGGTAAGCAACTGATACTGATGTCCTGTTAGCGGGGCTTGAAATGTGAAAATCCCAGACAACGCAACTTGCACCAACAGAGGCAAATAAATGCTGTGGCTGGCTGCTCTGTCCTGGGGTGAGGGCCCATGAAACACCTTCCAGTTGCACCCCAATATGGCAACTGGTGGCTTCCATCATGTGACTTACTGGCTGGCTGGCTGCTGTGGCTAGCACTCACACTCTGTTGGCTGTCTATAGAGAGTCAATCAGTAAGTAACCATAGTTGACATGGTTGGGCCAGAAAATGCAAAACAAAAAAATACACATGTGTCTCTGCAGAAGTCAAAGTGCTTGTTTATGCTAATTATGGTTACTGTATGGTCAGAACAATGTGCCCATGAAGTCAAATGGTCACATACATTGTGGTGGCTTCTCTAATGGGGCAGAGATGAGCAATAATGGGCAATTTGACCACTCTATGCATGTTATTGCTTGTGTATCATGGCTATTGCTGACCTGTGCTATTCATGGTGACTACTGTATCTGTTTAGTGTTCTGTCCTATTATCGGGATTTTGCACATTTGTACAAGCATATAACAAGCCCATTTGTCCTGGATTAGCTGTAATTTTCTTATTGGGCAGGCTGCCTACTCCATATGGCAATATGCAAGGACACACCTATACAGACCTCATCTGGGGGCCCTCTTGCTGAAACCTACATGTATGATACATGCTTAACATCTGTGGGAGTATGTGTGGTACACAGACAGTGACTAGAGCCTGATGCATTGCTTCTGTAAGCACCAGGCCAATGTTACAAGAGTGCACAAGAAATGTATTGAAAGTGTTGCATGAAATAGAGTCTTCCTAATCCATCCTAATCTATTGCAGCTGTGCAACTCATTGTCTCTGTCTTTGAAGAATATTCACTGGTTTCTCTGCATTTCTTTGGCTACAAGCTAGTTTAAGAGAAGTAACAGGCATACAATGCTTACTAAGCACCCAAGCGCCCACGTGCCATGCAGAGTTGTGGCAGCCTCGAATTTCCAGGCTGTCACAACTCCAAATGGCAGGGGAGAGATGCCAATTGGCTGATAAGCCCATTTCCTTGCCCTGTTCAGGCAGGCTGCCGAGATTTTGGGCTGAGTTTCAATTTCAGCAACAAGGATATTACAGCACTGTTACTGCCCTATTATAGGCTGATATTTTACGTAGAATCCTCAAAATATTCTGGCTTTTGGCCTCATACTACAGAGTCTATTGCTAGTCTACTTAGGGCACAAAAAATCACACAAATGCCTCTTTTGACATGGTTGTAGTTCTTTGCACCTCACATATAATCTCTGCCATTGCATGTCCATAAACACCTGAGACCTGATATTTGGAGCACCTTTGTGCCCTAGTGTATACTATGGTCTACTTGCTGCTGTTTCTGGTATATGGGCCCACCTATGTAGATGTGGAGGCACATGCAGATTTTTTGTGGTTTGCATTTTGTGGCTTCAGTAGCCACTGTATATGCATAGCATACACACTATGCATGCTTTGAGTGCTTTCAGATGGGTATAGTATCCTTGTATTATTTGTGTAATGATTGATCCTACATTGTGCAATAGGCACCCATTAAGCATCTGTTCCACACAAGGTTCACTCATTGACAGGTCAGAGTTTTTGACCTGTCAACAAGTCATCTTGCAGTGTAGTCTTCCAGACTCTGCTGCAAACTGCTGCAAAAGGCAAGTGTCCCTAACAGAATTCACCATTCTCAGCCACAAGTTGAATCAGATCCAAAAAACCTCGAAATATTCATGGTAGTAGTCCTCATACTATAGACTTTATAATGGGTATTGGTTTGCTGTAATGTCCATTACTGATGCCACAATTTGCAAAACAACAAAACATGCAAATGCCGCAACCCCGTGCACCTTTTGGGCGCATGGACCGTTTGTCACAGCGGGACGTCCGCACAGTTGCCATGGTCAACAGCAAGGTTGGAAAGAATGCTCGAAGACCTCCTGCAAGGAGCCAAGTCCTTGCCGTCAGTGGAACTCGATGGCTGTGAAATATACGGCCCGGTTGAAGGCCATATCTTCTTCTTTGGGCCTCACCAATTCCACCTAATTCAGGCCGGGATGACTCTCTGTCATCTCAGGGAGGTGTTCACATATTTGGTAAGTAAAACAGTAACGTAATCAGAAATTGCATTATGCTGATGAACCTGGAGCCCCTTCGCATAGGGGGCATTGTAGATCAGGTTGTTGAGGAGTTCGCCCTCCATGTCCAACAACAAATGGACCACGTATTCACTTTGATGAGGGCGGTAACCCTCTTCAACAAGCTTGAAGACCTGACCTCAGCCCTTCCCCCACTCATTGAGCAATGAATTTTATACCTTTCACGTGCTCACAACAACATCGTCGTGCTGGAGATCCAGGACAACAACTGGGAGGACCTGAGATTGTGGCAGGAGGATAGAGAAGGGTACATATCCACACTGGCACTATGGCACATTTCCGAGGAGTGGGCAATTGCGGCCCACCGACTGATGATGATGGACTCTGCAGCCCGCGTACAAAGTTTGTTTCCGGGATCTATGCAAGGTGGCAGGTGGCGTGCTACAAGCAACATATATGCAACAAAGGTTCTTGCTGTCGATCATATCTAATTACATAAGCTGTTAACCATGTGGGCACAAGCCATGTCAACACAGGACACATCTGGGGTTTACAAATGCACCTTCACTGATGCAGAGGCACATGCAGGTTTTTTTGTTTTGCATTTTGTGGCTTAACTAGCCACTGTGTATGCCCACTGTTCATACTGTATACTCTGTGAATGAATGGCTATCAGATGAGTATACTATCACCAGCACAGTTTGTTAGTGATTGTACTGTGAAGGCCTGTATAGATTTGAGCTTAAATCACTTACTAAGTGCTGATTAAGTGCATCTATCATATGCCCACTTTGGCATGTCTGCAGGTCAACATTAGACCTGTGGACATGCTGAAGTGACCCCAGTCCCTGACATTACGATCCCTGAGGTATGAAGGAATCGTGCTTATGACTGGAGGGCATGAAACACCTTACAGTGGTGCCCAATATCGAAGGAGTACATGTGACTTTTTGAGGCCCAGATAAGCAAAGATAAGTAACTGATACTAATGTCCTATTAGCGGGACCTAAGATTTGAAACTCCCAGACCACACGACTTACACCAACAGATACAAATAAATGCTGTGGCTGGCTGCTCTGTCCTGCGGTGAGGGCCCATGAAACACCTTCCTTCCAGTGGCACCCAATATGGCAATTGGTGGCTTTCATCATGTGACTTGCTGGCTGGCTGGCTGGTTGCTGTTGCCAGCGCTCACACTGTATAGAGTCAATCAGTAGCCAACAATAGTAGACATAGTATGCCCATCTGATAGCCCTCCATTCAAAGAGTATAAAGTGAGATTCCTATACACTTACAGTGGCTGATTGGGCTGGAAAGTGCAAAACAAAAAAATTCACATGTGCCCCTGCATAAATCAAAGCACCTCTGTCTGCTCCAGATACTCACTAAATCATCACTGAATGACTTTGTATGTGTCAGTTGCTTCTGTGATACAGCAAAGATGAGCAATATTGGGCAATTTGACCACTAGTGTGCATATTATTGCCTGTGTATCATGTCTATCACTGACTTGTGTCATTTATGATGACCAATACAAACCCATCATAACTCGGTAATTGATCGGTAATAACCATAATTTACTAAGCATACAATAGCTCTTGTATCAGTACTGAAAGCATCTGGTCATAATGAGTAAGAACACACTGGAAACTCGGTAATAGTCCATTTAGTATCTATAGTAATAAGTGCTTCTAAAGCATCAAAATGTCGGTAATCAATACCTCAGTAATAAAACAATGAGAGTGCTACATTGATGTCCATTAAATGGCACAAAAGGAATGATAAGGAAAGTAAGATAAGCACATAACAAACCTTCACTGATGCAGCCACTTGGTAATAGTAAACACTTCTAACAAGTTTCTGTGTGCTCTGAGGCTATCAAGCCTCTATCCCTAACAACAATGATGGTGCTGACCTTGCAACTATAATGGGTGAAAGTGCCAACACAATGGGCAGTGTGTGTGTGCCCTCAGACTCCGCAGCTCCCAGATCTGGAGAATGACCCCAGATTGACCCCTCTGCAAAGGGCAAAGGTAGGCTGCTTCCTCATGTTTGCTGGCCTCTAATGCTTATGGTACTACCTCAGATAACACTCCTGTTCAACATCCACATGTTCAGGCCCCCTCTCAGCACTGTGCTGGTCTGTGAGTGATTGCAGAAGATGGTCTGATTGCTGACCAATAAGGTGTAGGTGTACAAGAGAGGGTATATGAAGAGAATTATGCCTTTCCAGGGGATCTTCATCAGCCAAACTTTGACTGCACAGATTTCCGTGCAGAGCCTCAAATGCTTGATGTTGACCCAATGTAACCTTACTGTGCCAAGGGTATCAGGGAGCTCTTGCAGATGGTTGTTTCATCCTACCCACCAGCAGATACTGAGGATGCCAAGCATGCAAAGCACCAGCTGGTCACTCCTTTTACTGCGGGCTGTTTTTCCCCTTGCTCTTGTCATATATCTATTGCCAGCAAAATGGTGTAGAGTCAGCCCAATAATTTCAGTGCTCTACTCTGTTTGATTATGGTGGGCCTCAACCACATAAGGGCAAGACTGAGGTCTGTAGATTTCTTTTGTTGCACCCTAGCTAACTCTAAAGGTTGAAATTGCATAGGCTTGTATGATGAGGTACTTTTCAGCTAATGTGATTTTACTGTCCTATTGATTTGCTCTTCAGCTAGAGAAGGGTCATAGCACCATATTGAAGGCTTCAAGATGCCTTTTTCAATCTTGTGGCCCTCAAATCTGGCAAGAAGAAAAGCAGTGAAAGGTACAACCTGCTCAAAGGAGTTCCTGCCCACCGGGTTGCAGATGTTGCCTTTGCCAAAGAGCAGCACAAACAAATCAAGCTGCATCACTTGCTTGGTCAGTGGGCCTATGAAAATGCTATTTGGGTGCCTTGTAACAGGTATGTCTCTGTTTATTTGCATGCTCATCTTACTCATGGTCTGCCTTGGAGAATGGAGCTGTGAAGAGGGATGAGGCTCTTGTCCCAGACCACAGTTGTCCCAGAGTCAAAAAGCCAAGTGCTGATGCAGGGGTGGCCTCTCTCATCTTCTATGATTTTAGAGCCCAGCAGAGGGGGAAAGTTTGTGAAGAAGACATTGTATGCTCTCTTTTCCAATTTAATCTGTATTGTTGACAAGTTACATGTATAGTTTGGAGGACACCTTTACAACTCCAAGGGATTCTCTTGAATTGCATCTGAGATTAGTCAAGATGTTGTTGAGATTGAGGCTGAATCCATACTGGCATTCATAAGGTGTGTACATCCATTTAAATGAATGAGCCACGTGTTGTCTAATGATAAAAGAGTGCAAGAAGCTCTTTGCCACAGCTTCAAGTCTGTGGGAACCATGGTGAAGAGTGGGATGGGGCTTCACTCACAGTGTTTTGCATATGCCTCTCCTACCTGTACCACAGACAAGCAGTGCCCATCCTAAGGAGGCAACAAGAACAAGAATTGCTGAGCAGACAGTGCTGCATGTCAGCATTCAGCAGAACAAAGACAGCAAGTGCCTAGTTACTGTAAGCATAGGACCTGCTTCACGCATCAACAGTCATACAATGCTACAACTATGCAATCAGATGGTAATATCTCTGGTATGAGTTTGTATAGCTCTTCTCATGTATCATAGGGGGTTGTATAGGCTGCACACCTTCTCAATACCTATGGTTATCCCAACACTGCAGCCTTTGCATCATTTGCCTATGGTACCCCAAGCCATAAAGACAATGATGATTCTGTTACTATGGGCTGGGTCTCTGCTCACTCAAACCTGGTATGAAACCTGGTATGTCAAAGATGATACTGCTGCTATTGAGAACAATGATTCTGAACTATACCTGCAGATCAAAGATGATGAGAGCAACTTTTTCTATGCTGACTACAAACTCGTACTCCAGATGGCAGCAGACACCCACTGGATGTGGGATGCCCCAAAGACTTACCATAGCATGTCACTTGGCCACCTCTGTTGTGCCAACCTGAAGTCTTGGAAAATCTTTGCAAGGAAGAATGCAGCCACTGGGCAGTGGTCACAGGCAAATGTCATAACCCACACACAGGTTACAAGTAGGGGAGGTGAAGGGTATGATGCATATTAAGAGGGAGAAAGTTACATGTTGCTATTGCTGTACTCATTTGACTCAATACTGTGAACCCAAGAACTATTCCTACCGCTTGAGCATGCTACACACTGATAGATCATGGAGTGTGTCCCACTTGAAGATTCCTGTGAGCCTCCATGCCCCATCCATGACAACCTGAATATTTGTGCCTTCCCATCATTCCATCCTCAAACCCACCTCCTCATCCATCTTTCTGTTGATGAACCCCTGAACTATAAAGGAATTTTTCTTATGACTGGAGGGGATGAAACACCTTACAGTTGATCTCCTTTTATGGCAGGAGTCTCCCACAGTGCACGTGACACATTGGGGCCTAGATAAGCAGAGATAAGTAACTGATACTGATGTCCTGTTAGCAGGGCTTGAAATGTGAAAATCCCAGACAGCGCAACTTGCACCAACAGAGGCAAATAAATGCTGTGGCTGGCTGCTCTGTCCTGTGGTTCTGATATGCTAGATATTGGGTCTTTACTGTCCTGTAGAGGCTCTGCTAAGCTGTTTGCAAACCTCAGTTGCTTCTCCACAAGTGTCTTCTCCTTGCCCTCTTCACTGCCTTGTATGGATCTGGGTTGACGTCTGGATCAACTGCTTCATCTCAGGAGCTATTTTGTTCTGCATGCACCATCATGACACATTCTTCAGATGACACAGAAGCAGGCATCGTCATTGTGTTAAAGAACAGATTGAGGGGTCATCAAATTCTTGAAGGTTGTCCATGAATGTCCCACATGTCTGTAGCACCCATAAACACACACTTGACTGCTCGTGCCCACTCATACCTCATTGCACTGCACCTACTGTTCATCTCAACCTCTTGCCCCTAGCCCAGCTGTCACCTTGATCATACACCCTATCTGATTTTTGAACAATGTCTGACTCCAAGTTTACGTTGATGTGTTATCCTGGATCTGGCATGGTGAGTTATTGACCTAATGTAGTGTCTTTATATGGGACGTTCATATGCCATCCAATACCGCCAACACAGACTGTAACCACTACTTGTGACATACAGCACCTGATTCATGATTTCCTGCAACTGAACGAGAACAAAACCGAGATGCAAGATTACCTGAATGACCCAGACAATATTGTGTTAGACTGTGATGCCCTCAGAGTGGGGGTTAATTTGGCTGTTGCCAGTGACACGCTTGTTCCCCACAAAGGTGATAAACCCATCCTTGTTAACATATGTCTCAACTGACCATTGTGGAGGAGAAAGCCAGTCAGAGGCTAGATCAACGTGCAGTGTCATAGATATGTCATTCTTCCTTCTTGATCATTCCGAGTTTTTGCTCTCATGGCTCACACACATCACAAACAGACAGTCCAGTCATACTCGACATCAATCCACATGCGCTCGAGGGGCCCAGGGAGCATGTGTGTCTTGACCATGTCTGCTGCAGCATTGAGGGAGCAGCAGCGTCAAGAACCAGTGGTGAGGTGGTGAGCAGGTGCCATCGGTGCGCAGTGTCCATCTCCATCTTGGTGTTGCTCGTGGTAGCTTCTGTCTTGTTGTCCTCGATGGAGTCTGTTTGCCGGAGTTAGTAATGATAGTGGCAATGTCAGGCTCTCCCTCATCAGGAAACTGTGCATTTTCTGACGGTATGTGCCTCTGAAGGTCGGCCTTCAGAGAGCTTCAGGGCTTCAGGGCACTCCAGACATCACATATTGTCAGATCCTCTCATTTTGCCTCAGATAGTATCAGACAGTGTCAGCAGCACAGTACATCAGACAGCACATATCTCACATTTCGTCAAGAAACACCCCCTGCCTGTAAATTGGCACAAATGCAATGTATTCAACGACTACTATAATGATCGTAATACATATACATCTGCATATTGGAGCGCAGCATGTAGGCAGGTGGTCACCGACCAGCTCAAGCAGATCTTCGAGTTCATCGGCACGGGCATTGGGCATGTGAACACAACGCACCGGCCACAGCACGACTGCGCCATGCAGAACGCGCCGCGAGGAGGAGGCACGCGTCCGGGAGCACATCCACGGGGGGCGCGGCGCGACGGACGCGTGGACTGCATCGCGGGGAACAGCGTGATGAGCGAGTTGGGCGTGGGCGATGAGGTGTTCAATCGCGACGAGGGGCTACACGTCGTCAGCGCGGTGTCGAGGGGCAATGTTCTTGGGTCTGAGGCATCTGACCATCAGTAGCGGAGACAACAATAATGGCAACATCCGTCTGGGCAGCTCCCGTGATCTGGATGGCAATGTCAGTGTAGGGGAGCCATCAGAGTCGCCTAGAATCAGTGTGCTCGGGACAGTCAATGTGGACGTGGTCTTGCCGTCATCAACGTGACCTGTTTTCGATGACACGGACACCGGTCTTGCACGAGCTCAGGGTGCGTTCGAGGACGCGCTACGAGAGAGCGGCGCCTGTGACTGCTTCAGCGAGGACTCGAGCTTGCGCTGGATGTCACTGGGGAGAGGCGCAGCGGAGGTGATGGTCACGGTGAGCTCACCCTTGTACTGGGAGACTAGCTTGTTGAAGCCCTCAATGACGCCGTGAGCCTCGGCGAGATGGCCGTTCTGGGAGAGGACCACGAAGAGGTTTTCGTGATCTCCGACACGGGCTCCTTCTTTGGAATCTCAGCAGTGGCATAGAGCGCATTGAGCCCCGAGACGCAGTCGTTCGTGCTAAGGGTTGTGTTCGAGACGAACGCGTTGAGCTCGGGCACGCTCTCAATCGCGGACGAGAGGTCGATGAGCTCAGACTGGACCTTGTTCAGCGTCTGTGGCGACTTGTGGAGCACGGCATTGAAGACGGCGTTGGGAAACTTGAGCGCGAGGGAAGAGGCGGCGCGCCGGCCGAGCCCAGTGGAGGCGGTCACTGCGCGGGCGGGGTAGAGCAACATGGCATGGTGCTGGTGAGGAAGAAGAGCGGCGTTGGACCCCGAAAAGATAACGGCGTAAGTACCCCCAAATATCGAACAGTCGTACTCACTTGTACTATATAAAATAAAACGTGCCCTGCCTCCTCCCATCCTGTATCGCCTCCGCTTTCCTGTCGTACTTGCTGCGTACTTGCTGCGCAGTGTCGGGCTTCTTGTTTGTCGTTGAAGGTTGGTTGAAGGCTGTTGTGGGTCACGGAATCGCAGTACAAGCGCTAAGCGCCTCAGCCACGTCACGCTACTGATGCGCGCTTGCTACTTCGCTCTCGCTCTCACCGCACTTCACCACACGTCCGCCCTCGAGTCGACCTCAGCACCCTCATCGCCATTTCTTACCTTCGCTTCGCGTGTCCTTCTTGCCGCCTACCTCGATCATGTACTTATGGGCCCGTCCGCAAGACACGTCAGCACGCAAATCGACCGGTCGCGCGCCCCACGATCGCGCGGCTCAGCAGCCGCAAAGAGCTCCAGCGACGCGCCGAGAGCACCCGGGCCGCCAGAGGTTTGTGGAGAATGGGTGGCCAGCGGGACAGAAACTTCAGTGAGTGTACCTCACTTGTCCACTTGACCCGCAGACGAACCTAACAAGCATATCCCATCCAGGACAACCTGACAAAGACTAACGTGACGGAGATGGCCCCAGTGCGCATATGTACGAGAAAGCACGAGCGCGGTGAAGACGAGTGGCACAGCCTCCCTAAGAAAAGCCTGGTGAGCATGTACCGGAAAGCCTGTACATGCCGCGCCCCGGGTATGGCCAGCACGAACTTACCGCACACAGTTACGATTCAGCACGCGCTGACACGCACGCTCAAGCTCGGTGTGACCTAGTTCGCCAAGGAGGACCACACGTCGAGAACTTGGAGCCAGTCCGCCGAGCACCAAGACGACAAACGGGCATTTAGCCCATCCCTGACGGACCAGGTTGATGAGCCTGGCAGACGCGAGCACGAGGAGACGCAAGCGCGACACGCCGTACACGCCGACCAGCAAGCGCACACTGGGCGATTACGGTACACCGCTACTACGACACGCAATGCGCATGAATTGGATGGTAAGTAGCCTGCGCGAGTGTACTGCACTAGCTAGATTCGGAGATCAATTGGCCCTATGTATGCCTCGTACAGAGTACAACATATATATTTGTGTTACATATTCTCTCTGGCATATCTGACACACTGACGTGGATTCTGACTGCTCTGGGAATGCCTGAGCGGCCCTGAGGCTGTCTGAGAATACCTGAAGCTGTCTGAGGATTCTGTCTGACGAAGACATTTTGCAAAAAATCGAGATACTGAGGGTTGACCATATGAGCCAATCTGAAGCAATCTGAAGCGTCCTGAACGCTTATGAAGCCCCTGACGGCACCCGTCAGAGGGTTTGCACAATTTGCTGATGCTGTTGTCAGACAAGTTTGAGTCAACGACTTCCTTTGCACTGGGTGGGTCCAACCAGCTGATGATCCATGATTGGTAGGGTGGCCTTGTTGAGGGCTGCTTCCTGTTGAACTCAGTGACGGGTTGGCTCAGCGTGCAGGGCGTGCCGGAAAGAAGACGTTGGCGAGGCAGCGGTGAGTGTCTCCCGGATGAGCCCAATTGCCGTCATTTGCTGTCCTTCCATGTCGCTAATGAAGTTGGTGTTGAGTACAACGGGAGCTTGGTACTAGCCAGCCCAGTGGCGAAGGATGCAGAGGTAGGGATTACCAACGAGAGAGTCATGGGGACGACAAGGACCATGGACGAGGCTTGTGGTTAAGGGTGATGACGAGCCTGAGGGCAAGTTTTGGGCACCGCAACACAACTTCTGTAATCAGTAATAATATAGGATAGGATGGGACGGGACAGGACAGGCCAGTATGGGACGGGATGGAACAGGACAGGACAGGATGGAACAGAACAGTACAGGATGGGGCGGGACAGTACAAGACGGGGAGGGACAGTTCAGGACAAGTCATTCCGGCAGCCACAGGAGCTGGAGATATCCTGTAGGATCCTGTAAGATCTGGTACAATCTGGTACACACCTGTGAACCATTGAAGAGCTGTGGCACATTTTTGTCCAGTACTGACATCTGTGATTTCACCATACGTGAATGGACAGGACAGGAATTAACAGTAGAGGACAGTAAGGGACAGGACGTACCGGGTCAGGAAAGTACCAGACAGTACAGGATTCGAAGTCTTCCTACAGGATCATACCAGATCAGGCAAGCTCCTGGACAATCCTAGTTTATCTGACCGGTTTCTGTGATTTCCTGAGTGAGCCGGAGTGAGCTCCAGAGATCTAGTAGTATCCGGTAAGATCTTCTAGGTTCTGAGATGATCTGACAAGATATGCCTCAGTAGGTCAATTTTTATCCCATATGGGCCTTGATAGTCAGCGACCCCTGGAGAGATGGCTTTGCTGGCTGCGAAGGGCTCCACCAAAAAGGGGAATTTCTGGTCAATATTACCAAACAGCTGCTGCAAAGTACTGCAATGCAAGCCTCAGGATCACCTTGGAAGGTGTCAAACTATGAGAGACCCCCATATTTGCTACCTGATTATTAGTTACCATCTTGGACTGCTGGATAAGCATTGCAAGGGCCCTTGGGTTGCATGGGTACATGGGTCAGATTTGGCTACCCATCCCCATACCCATGCAATGTACTACTCTTGCCTCCATGTCCATCCAGGCTAACACTGGGCCCACCCAACCTCATAGCCTGCATGCACAGCCCCAACTGGTTGTGTTGTCCCAACATCTTTCTCCTGTTGATCCTGAGCATAGACAAGGACAGAGCATAAAGACAATGGGAAGGGATGCAATCTCAGATCACAGTATATCTAGATTTTTGGGCATGCTCGGTTTACATACTTACAATCAAAAGCTATGCACTGTGATACAGTCCAGACATCTTCAGCCTGTCATTTTACTTTGCCATACTCTGCAGGCAGTGGGGTTTGTGTGATGCAGGGTGTCTGGACTACATTAGGGCATCTTACATGTCTTGCATAACTCCATATGCTTCATATCAACGTGAAGTGCTACATAACCATAACGGCACACATAGACAGCGAGTGGATCTTAATAACACAAAACACACTGAAGGTCGAACATTCACATAAGCAGACACGAGATATCTCAACGATGCGGTGCAAGATCACCGTGTCCGTTGCTGCGCTTTGCGGCATCTTGCTGTCTTTGCCACAGCATCTCCGCCCACAGAGGATTCTGCGGTACTCGTCCCACTATAAGTCGCAGTACCTCAACCCTGTGTAACTGCTCGTTCAGAAGTCTGTGCACACCATCGCGTACAGAACACTCACCATCTAGTCTTCTCTTCCTCCGTATCAGCGAAGAATGTAATCTCCTGATCGTGCAGGAAGACAAGACGGAACGACCGCTCCACACCGTACGGGATGTCGAGTTCATCGACATGTCGACTACGGCTGCTCACCCCTGACTGCGGGCTGAGAGCGTTCCGCGCAGCATCGTCGTCTTCCACTGCCACAGCTTTCCGTAAATCGATAGTTGCCGTGACCTTCTTCGTTACGTCGTTGTATGCAACCAAGTTAGCACCGACAAGCCTCAGGTGCCGCCGCCGCCATGACTAGAACGGTAACGACACTCGGTCAGCAGGTGCTCGACGCATCGACTAGGATCAGCTTACCGTACAGTCGCCTCCACACTGCGTCAACGTGCCCTCAAAATATGTCTGTTTGTGCCAAACTGTATGACGCAAACCTCGTATGCACTCGTCTAAGCTTTGCGGGAGCTGATTGGGCGGAATGCCGGGCAGCGCTGGCAGCCGGAAGATCTGCAAAACGATTTCGCCCACCTGGACGGTCTTCGTCACTGTTCTTGATTCGAGGCGCTGCCCGATCAGAGGGTATGGCGAGTCGAATATCGTCGCGTCACACCGATGTGCGATGTCACGGAATGAAATGAAGGCCCGAGCGAGTGTACCGTCGGATTTGAGGTAGCGGGCGAGGTTGTCAACGAACTTGAACTCGGGAACACGCACTGCAGGCGCAGGCACTGGTTTGGCGGGCTGTTTCTTCGGTGACGAAGAGCGGAAGAAGTTCAGCACCCCGCCTTTGGAGGCAGGCGGGTTGGCGCGAGGGGCAGCGGAAGGAGTGGGTAGCGGCGGCGGGATGTTGGCCTTGCACTGCGCCGCTATGTGTGGGTCCCGACGAACTTTTATCGTAAGCGTGAATTCGAGCTTGCTGTGCTCAATTCTGACAGTCAGCAAGGGGGAACAGTCCATCAGTATTGGCAGCTTGCAAGGAAGCACTCCACTCACAGCTCAAATTCTTGCTCGATACGACAGTCCTTACTGAAGCGGCATTCAGGAGTGGTGACGAAGTGGATGCCGTTGTTCAGCGTACACGTGATGATGGTGGGCTCCCGCGGCAGAGGGACCTGTAGTCCCTTCAATCCGCATACTGTCGAAGGATACTCAACGAAAAGAGCGATGAGCGATGCAAAGGACTACACACCTTTGACGAACACCTTGCCGTGCGCCTTGCCTGACTTGTCTTGAGCACGCAGTTCCTTGATTTGTCTTGCGTACTCGTTCTGCCACGATCCACGTTGGTACATCACTACGCCACATGACTCGAGCTCTTACCATGTCGGAGGGCCGCTTCACGATTCTCCAGGCCTTTCCCCCGTTGACGTCGCCCGCAGTGCCTACATGGGAGACCTGTTCCGCATCGGAACTTGCGTAGATGGTCTCCTGATGCTGACGAATGTGATACTTCTGTACAGATCATTAGCACACCGCCATCGAAACTCTTTATGAAAATATCTGACGCACGCTCTTAGCAGGATCTTCCAGCTTGCGCAGCTCACGATCGATACTGTCTGCAAGCGGATCGTCCTCCTGGTCGATGTCCAAAACATCAAGCAGACCCTCAGATTTCAGTGCGGCAGCGCGACGCTGAGCTGCCGGCGTCCGAGTGAGCAAATCCTCCGCATCTCCCGTGCTCATGCTCCTGCGCCTGCTCGGGCGCCCTGCGCGCATGGCCTGCACGGCACTGGGAGTGGAATGACCCAGAGACGCGAGATCGTCTCTCCGCTTAGCCTCGCGCTTCTTGGCCATGATCAGCTGCTCCCGCGCGCGTATGGCCTCCTTGGGAGGCGGGGCAGGCGGAGCGTTGATCACGCCTGTTGGAGTCTAAGGGAAGACATGTCAGTGCTACGCACATTCGCAAATAATATGTACGTACTGGCGAGGCCTGAGCAGGTTCGCCCGTTTCCTCGTCCACAGTTTCGTGGCGGAAAGTAAGCGGGCCTTGGGCATTGCCCTCAGCCTGGAGGTCGCGGAGCGCAGAGCCTCCCGCGCTTCCGGGGAGCCCATGCGCGACATTCTCCATAAGCCTGTCCAGGGCGCTCACATCGCCCAAATGGACGTCGCCCCTGCTGGATGTCGAACCTGTTCTGCCGAACATGTCCTCCTGACCGAAACCGAACGCGCTGTGGTCGAAGTCCATCTGGATACCCTGGAACATCGACTTGTCCTCCACGTCGCTGTGTGCGCGCGCGAGGATACTAGGGCGCGGCGGGTCGATCGGCTGCGGGTTCGGGTCAACGGACATAACTCCGTCATAAGTGTAGTTCTTCTCCCGGCTCATAGGAGGCGGCGGCGACCGGGTGCTGTGGTCGCTGACCGTGCTAGCAACACTACGGCGATCCTCGTCCATGTGTACGTCCACAGACGCTGCGGCGATGTCGTTCCTATCCCCCTCTAGGCTATCCGCATTGCCGGCATCGGGTTGCTCACGCAGAGAATGACGGCGCGTCGTCTCATCGATGCTCATGCCTTGCGAGGTTGGCCTAATGATGTTAGAGCCGCTTGCCGGAGATGCTCTAGGTGATGATCTAGGTGAGGACATGATCCTCTCGGGAGTGAGCGAGTCTCCCGGTCGTATCGCCTTGGGCATATGGATCTCGCGACGCGGCGAACTTGACCGCATCATATCGACAGGCGACGTAAAGTTGAAGTCGGGAACGGTGGATACGTGCGAATCACTGCGTTCCAGGGGTGTCGAACTGCGCGAAGAGACGATACCATCTTCCTGTTTCATATGGAAGAAGGGAGGTTGAGGTGGCAGGAGCTCTTCGTCGTCAGTGGCTTCCTCCTCACGCGAGGCATGTTCGCGATCAAGGCCATCGAGTGAGACCTCGGACTGTCCGATAGACAAGTTGGCGGGATCCATACACTCGTCAGAGCCGCCAGAAACAAACGAGATTTCAGGGGGCACCTGCTCATCTTTGATATGCGGCACGTTGAAAGGGTCTTCTCGTAAGGTGGCTTTGATACATAGAAGTGAGCGCACGATTGCCTCGAATCGGTGTGGCACCTACCCGTCGTCGCACTTTGGCGCAAATGCTCCAATGAGAACCTCGGTACCAAAACTTGCTCACTGGGGACAGGCGAGACCTGGCTTGGTCGTTTGGCGGGAGAAGGAGAGGGCGGAAGCATGCGCACATCCTCGTCGACCTCACTCACGTCGAGACGCTCTGGTGTGCCACTGATACTGCGTGAGCCTGGGCCAGTGTTGGTTTGGGTGATAGTCGACGGAGGCGGGGTGGATACTGAGAAGTCTCGTTGGTCTGTGTCTGAGGAAGCGTCGTACGCAGGGGTGGGGTGGTATGCGGCACCCAGCCTCTCTGCATGATGTGTGCGCCCATAGGGAACGCCGTCTTCTGTCTCGATATCGGGAGGCAGCGAGCTTTCGCGGCGAGGTGGAGTATGAGGTTCGTCGGTGTCTTGCAGAAGGGTTTCAACGAGCCCTGTGATACTGTCGTTTCCGGTGTGTGAGCTATCGAAGCTTTCGTCGGTTGGAAAAGGCGCATCGAGCGCAGGACGGAGCTCGACTATCTGTGGCTCGTCCGCCTGTTCGTCGCCGGACTCCTCATCGGTGGAAATGGCATTCTCGTCGATCTCGTGCTCTTCGACGGAAAACTCGAGTACATCGCAGTGCTCGTCGAAAGTGACGGTCTTGCGGCGCTGACGGCGGCTGAGCGAACCGTTTCCGACGATGCGCGGGCCATGGAGACGCTTAGAGACGAGGGATGACCGACCCGGAGACGCAGTCGCAACAGGGATCCGCGTCAGCTTCGGAGGTGGGGGAGGAGGTAGCGCGTCGTCTAGATCAACGTCGGGCGGGATAATCTTGAAGGGGCTCTTGGTGACGGGTTCCTTCTCGAGTAGGCCCTGGAAGGCCCGGGACTGGCGACGCTTGAAACCGAGTGGATGCTCGTTCTCGGTTGCAACCATGGAGTGAGGGCGCGGACGTTTCTCGCCACTCACTTTGCGTGGTGACGGAGAGAGCCCAGCAGATTGTCGAACGGCCGACGGTCTAGAGGGTGTCGACTTGGCTGGCGTGGGGAGCTGAGATCTGAAGGGAGACTTGGAGACAAGATTGTTGGTGCGCAATGCCTTGTAGCTGGAAGACTGGCGGCGGGCGAGGCCAGCACCCTGGGGCGAGTCGCGCTTGGCGATGCGGAGCGGGGTGGTCGGCCGGCCGACCCAAGGGTTGCCTTGCCCAGGCGGGTCCGGCGAGTTGCTTTGCAGGCGGTCGCGCAGCGGGAGGCCCGAGCTCATCGTGTGAGGCGGCGAGGAGGACGGCGGGGACGGTGGTGGGGAGGAAGAGAGTGGCCGGCGGGATGATCGCAACAACGCCACCGCGGTTCGACTCGCCGTGGGAATCCTCCTCTTCAACTCTCGCGACTGGGCACGTGATCGCGTATCCCCTGCCATGACGTGCTGCTCGTCGCCCCTCCCAGCGACAACGCCCGCCCACACGACCGCAACGACGCCGCCATGGCTTTGCGCAAGCGAGCCAATGCGCACGCCGACGACGAGTCCGCGACCACGAGCGACCGTGAGCATGAGCTCAACGAAGTACGCCATCTGAAGCAAGAGCTCGCGCACAAGGTCGACGACCTCAAGCGCAAACAGGTGTGTTAGCATGCACCTGCCCCCGTGCACTACAGCAGAGCGCACCCTTCTATGCCCCGACTGGATACTTAGTCTCATCATTCCCGTAGAAGGGTCGGCATTGGTTCGCGACGCGCCGGTTTATCTTCCCGCTGGGTGTCATCTGTGAGTAACGCCCGCGAATATCGCTGTCTGCGTCCTCACCTACCTTGATACCCGTTAACAGTGGGCGTTTTGCTGGGCTTTTCTCTCATCCAGCCCTCCGACTTCACCGATCTGCAAACTCACCTAGCCCTCCTCTTTGACTCATACGACTTCAGTCTCCCCCAGATGCCCCAGATTGAGCTCCAGATAGACCTCACTCGCTTCGAGACGGAGTGGCGTAGACTGTGGAGCAACGTACCCGAACCTTGGAAGCTGAACACGAATGGTCTCGAGTTCACCGTCGGAGAGAAGGTCGCAGAGGAGGGCCTCACCGCCAAGCACCCCATTGTACTAATTCCCGGCATAATCTCGACCGTGAGTGGCTGATCAATTGGTTGAACCTACGAAGCCCACCCCGCCTGCCGCAGGGACTCGAGTCCTGGTCGACGACTCCAGAGTACAGGCCTTTCTTCCGGCAGAAGCTGTGGGGCGGCTTCTCAATGCTTCAGCAAGTGGTGTTCAACAAAGAGAAGTGGATGGCAGCCCTCATGCTCGATCCCGTGACTGGGCTCGATCCGCCCGGTGCCAAGGTAAGAGCTGCCGAAGGTATCGACGCCGCGAGCAGTTTCGTCCAGGGCTACTGGCTTTGGTGCGTACCATGTGGGTGCAGCGTGGTACTAGTCAACTCACATATATTCAAGGTCAAAGATCGTGGAAAATCTAGCTGTTGTGAACTACGATACGAACAACCTGCACCTCGCGCCCTACGATTGGCGCTTATCCTATTGGAATCTGGAAGAGCGTGATAGCTACTTCACCAAGCTTAAGATGACGATAGAGGCTTTCCGGTACCCACTGATGTCTCTCATCTCTTCCTCGTGCGCCTGATGTCGACTTGTCAGCATAGGCGAAGGAAGACGCGTCGTCCTCGCCGCACACTCGATGGGTAGCACTGTGCGATCTGATTCACCGATCACTACGCCGCAGGACTGACTTTGCTTGCCTCAGGTTATGCTGGTAAGTGGTATCAGCTTCTTCGGCCTGCCAAGAATAATTCACGCGTTGCTGACCATTGCTCCAGTACTTGTATGTTGTCTGGGCGCGACTTCCCGAGCTGTACACTGACCTGGTCATTCAACGTTGCTCATCGTGTTTACGTATGTCAACGACATAGTTTCAAGTGGGTTGAATCGCCTGAACATGGCAATGGCGGTCCTACATGGGTCGAGGTGCGCATTTGTCCGTCTTGCACCTCTTATGCGATACTATCTGTATCCTATAGGACAATATTGAAGCGCTCGTTACCATTGCCGGCACTCACTTGGTACGTAGTCACTCGGATGTCAAAAGACGTCAGCTGATCACGGATAAAAGGGTGTAGTACGTTTGCATGCGTCACTGCAGCCGACATGACAATGACGAATATGAAGGTCAAAGCCATGTCGGCTTTCCTTTCAGGAGAGATGAAAGATACCGTTCAAGTCCATCCTGCTGGAGCATATGGTACAACTCTTCACCGCTTCGCGCCGATACGTACTCACAGAACATCAAATAGTTCTCGAACGGTTCTTCTCCCGTAAAGAACGCCAGACATTGTTCCGTAGCTGGGCAGGCAGCGCCAGCATGTGGATGAAGGCAAGACACTCTCCTCTTCGATACGCTCTATTCTCACATTTCTCAGGGTGGCGAAGCTGTCTGGGGAAACGCGACATTCGCCCCGGACGATAGGTCTGACGCCGCGTGGAGCCACGGCGAGCTCATCCTCTTCCGCGAATCGGTCCTCAAAACCGAAGGCGCAGGCTCCCGGCTGCGGAACATGACCGCCTCGGAAGCTAGTACATGGATCCTGGAACGGACTCCGACTCAGTTCCAGGTGTGTTCCGTGGTCAATATATTGTCCGTGTTCAGCGGGACTCAATAGCTGGTTGCTGCAGAAAATGATCGAGTCCAACTATTCATTTGGGATTGAGCGGGACGAAGAACAGTTAAAGCGGAATAACTTCGATCACCGGAAGTGGACCAACCCTTTGGAAATTCAGTATGTCGCAGCGGCTTTCGTCCCTTGCCTACGCTGACATTTGTAGGCTGCCAAACGCGCCTACGACGAAGATCTACTGTGTCTACGGCCATGGCAAGGACACGGAGGTGGGTCTTCAGTTACACGATCTCTACTACATCTCACCACTCGCCGTGTTTCTCAAATTAGCGATCATACTGGTTCGTCCCGCAACCACTAAGCACTACATTCCACTAACAGACCCGACCCGCTCGCTCCTCCAGGTACACCCGCGAAGGCTTCGAACACGACGAGGTCCAAGCGGACGTCATCGACGCGCAGTGCGCCAACGTCTCAGACTGCATGACGCCCCGCACGCCCCTCGACCTCCCCCTCCTCCGCAAAAGCCAGATCGACGCCGAATACACCGACGAGGGTACGTCGCCCCCGGTCGTGAACGGCGTGCGGCGCGGCGAGGGCGACGGGACGGTGAACCTTCTGAGCCTGGGCGCGATGTGCGTGGAGGGCTGGAAGCGGAAGCGGTGGAACCCCGCCGGTATGAAGGTGGTCACAGTTGAGGTGCGCTGTCTCGTTGCGATGATGTGATATCGACTCAGCTCATGACGCGTGACAGCTCCCTCATGAGCCATCGCCGACTATCCCGAGAGGCGGTGGGACGACAGGCGACCACGTCGACATCCTCGGGTCGACTGCGCTGAACGAGATCATTCTCCGAGTAGCCACTGGTGCAGGCGACCAGATCCACGATGCGTTTGTCTCGAAGATCCGCGACTATGCAAAGCGCATACAGTGGGACTGACAGTATGTTTATTCGGATCCCGATTCCACAGACTACATAGAAGTCCTGTCATGATACACGTATTACAACCATGCCTATAATAGACCATGCAATACAATGACCGCCAGTCTGGCCCTTGTCATGATGCATGCTCGCTCGGATTCCCGCCACCCTAGTGTCGTTGCTGTGATGCTAGTCTGAGGGCGAACAAAGTAGGTTTCCCTACTACTTCTAGACCTGCTAATACCATCCACGGTTCCCCGATACGAACGTCCAGTCCATAATTCCGAGCAACTATCGACGTCCTCAGACCTCGCCCTTCCCAGCGGCCCGCCTCAGCCCCAACTCCCCCCTCTCGAGCCTGACCACGAACCCGTCCACCGCCTCCTCCTCCAAGTTGTTCAGAGCGTTCCCATGCTCCGAATAGATCACCCGCCGCGCGTTCACCTTCTCCAGCACCATCCGCACCTCCGCGTCCTCCGCCGTCGCGGTCGCCGTCTTCTCCCCGCCCGTCGTCGCGCCCCCCAACTTCGCATCCGCAGACTCGGACCTGCGCCTGAGTCGGAAGCGGAGCAGCTTCTCCAGCCTCGACGGGTCGACGATCGGCGCGCGGACATCGAGGAGCGCCTCGGGCCTATCCTCCACGTCGGCGGCGGAGGAGGAAGAGGAGGAAGAGAGCCCCGCGAGCGTGCGGCGGACGCTCTCGTGCTGCTCGGGCGTCGTCGGGTCGAAGAGGTGCACGCAGAAGTCGAGGGCCTGCTGGAGCTCGTCCTCGGAGAGACGCGTGCCCATCTCTGCGCCGCCCTGGATGACTGCGGAGGCGTGCATCAGTGTATGAGCGGGATGTGTGCGGGGTGGGAGACGAGCGCACCGGGTCGGAGGAAGGCAAAGGCCTTGTCGAAGTTGTCCTCGGAGACGTCGCCCAGGACGTTCGCGGACTGCGAGCGGATCTGCTTGTACGCGCTGAGGACCACGACGAGGAACCTACGCGCACGTCAGTCAGCACGCAGTCCAGACACCCCGAGTCAAGCGAGCGACGAACCTGGTGTACGAAACTGCCACGCGATTGCTATGCCACCTCGCCGCCTCGACCTCCGCGCAGTCCCCCCGCACGCTCGCACATATCGACGCAGCCGCACTCAACGCGCCCGTCATCGCCAGATGCACGCCCGACGAGAAGAATGGGTCTATGAACGCTGTCCCAGACCCCCACGTCCGAGTCAGCCCACCGCCCCAAGACGGACCCAGCCAAAGCAACAACGCACCTCCCGCATCCCCGACGAGCCTCCACCCCTCGCCCGCATACACATCCGCATGGTAGCTATAGTCGCTCGCGCTCTTCACCGCCTCGCCCTGCTCCCCGCCTATGCCCTCGCCCGCGACATCCACGAGCTCGCCCTCGCCAATCAGCGCGAGCACGCCCGGCGCGAGCGGCAAGAAGCCGCGGTAGCGCTCTGCGAGCGCGGACGCCGTGCGCGTGGACAGACTCGACGTCGAGCGCGGGCGGGCGTGCGCGGGGCCGGGGGAGGACGCGGACGGAGAGGAGGACGCGGCGGAGGACGCGCGCGAGCGCAGGCCGAGCTGCTTTTGTGCCATGACGACGCCGACGGAAGTGAGCCCGTTGTGCAGGGGGATGAACCATGCCCAGCCGGACTCGTCTGCGCGCGCCGGTCAGGTCAGTGCGCGTAGAGGGAAAGACGCAGCGCACCGCTGAGTGCCTCGAAGTAGGGCGCGTTCTCTCGCGTGGTCCCCTTACCGTACATGCCGGTGCCGCGCCAGTAGCCCCACACGGCGACGTTCTTGAGGCTCTCGTTCACCCTACGATTCTTTAGGTATCTGGATGACCAGTACGTCGTCAGCACTACTCACGCCGAAGATGACATGCATATTCGCACTTCGTACTCATCACCCCCGCGCGCCCACTTGCGTCGACCAAGTAGTCGAATTCGATCTCGCCTCTGCCTCCGTTTGCCGTCTCATACACCGCCTTGATCGGACGCCCCAGGCTTGCGACCTCTTCATCACCGGGCTCCATAGCGGCTTTCGCATCCAAGTTGTCTTCGATCGCGTACTCCTCGGCTACTGCCCTCAGGCTCGAACTACCCGCAGACACCTTTCGGCTGAGCGATGGCCTGAACGAACTCGAGCGGCCAGGGGAAGTAGATACAGCCTTGGGAGACTGGTCGAAGAGGAGCTCAGTGACGCGGATTTGCTCGAAGACGCGTGCCCCGGAGGCGGCGGCGTGTTGCAGGAGTAGATGGTCGAATTCAGCGCGGACGACGTTCCATGCAGCGTTGTCGGCACCGAGAGCAACAAAATCCGTGTCTGTAGAGAGAAAGGGAAAGATGCGTCAGCTGACGCTATGCGAGGGGATACGTCGGAGCGTAGTGCTAACGGAATGGCGCAGCTCAAGCGGGTTCGAGAGGATCATGGACAGGGCGTCGAGACAACCGAGACTCACATCCTTCGTGCATATACTGATTGAACTTGATGGCAGAGCCAGGCTACGGTGGGAATGAGCAGACACCGCCAGTCTGTCGTAGATACGGACCTTGGTAGCAAAACCATGGCTGGCGACGAGGTCCTCTGCGTCGATGAAGCGCAGGTAATGCCGGACAGAGGGAATGAGAGACTCTCCAATATGGTATCTGACGTTTCCTCAGCAACGGGTTCTAGGAGCCCAGGGAGCACAGACCGTGGAAAGCGAGACATCTCGAGTAGGACGACGTCGATGCCTTCTCGAGCAAGGGCTGCGGCAGTGTAGCTACCGGCGGGGCCACCGCCGACGACGAGCACTTGTGCTTTCTACAGGCGGTGTCAGTTTGATGTCATGGGCAGCAGGAAAGATAGGGGACATACTTTGGGGATTTGGAGGGATGGCATAGCGAGGGCAGCAAGGGAGCAGAGCAGGCGGGGGAGGGAGCTGGTTATAAGGGGACTGGTGGGGTGTGAAGAGAGTGGGCTTCCCATCGGAACGCACGGGCTGCAGAGTGCATACCGCCATCACGATGGTGGTGCTCGCGACGAGGACGAGCGAAGAGGAAGGACGAGAAAGACAGCGACTGTCGCCCTCGCTCGTCACCTGTCATCACTCGAGAAAGGGGTCCCATTGCCGCTCGGTGTATCCGTGCAGGGTGGGCGGGTGTATGCGTCGTCGTCGGGCGCGGTGGCGGTGCCGGGCAGCGGCGGGCGACGCGGCCGACGACGAGCAGGCCGCCCCCTCGACCCAGCCAGGGCTACACGGAGGCAGAAGCTGTCACTCACTGTGTCCCACCCACGTGACCGCGTCTCCGGTCATTCGATCCGACACGGTACTGACTACTTATCATACCCAGAGGAGAGCCTGCTCCCAGAGCACCGCACTCGACCGAGCAAAGCCATCCCAATATTACCGCACCATAGAGGCGCTTCCGTAGAGGTTTGGATTTGCGTACTAGCGATGCCAGCTGCGAGGTCAGTGGGAATCGATGAGCTAGCGGTAGTCGCGCACTAGTCTGGGACCTGGGTACACAGTCGACTCGACTGGGCGACTAACATCATGGTGTTGGCAGGTTATCTGGCGGAGGATGCGATGGGCCCATGTGCGCGTCAACTTGAACCGTCGAGGGCACCGTGCGTTCTTCAAGTTGCGGGGGTGGCTGTGCTCCTAGATCTCGATCTCGTTTACACCTGAACCACTTTCGCTTCGAGGTCTAGTTAGCAATATGATTACTCCCAATATGACGCCCCGTATCTGTACTACTCCGCAACACAGCAACAAATGTAACAAGGGTCCATCCGTCAGTTGGCTGTCAAGCACGTCCAGATGTTGGAAGTTTCGGCGCGCTTTCAACATCCCCAGTTGGCAGCCTGGGATTGTACTGCCCTAGTCGCACTGGATAGCATCAATTCGCCCCTCAAATACCTCTGGCCCGCGAGTGCCAGTTGGTACGCCCTGACCGCTACTGCTTAGTTCCCTTCCTACTGAATATCGCCAGCTCGCACATTTCTCGCGTGTCCCCTAACGATGCCAGGATCCGAAGTGCGTTATGCCCGCATGCCGAGTGTCGACTCGAACTACAAGGACGAGGACTTCGACCCGACGTCGCCCTTTCCCTGCGACAGCCATGCAGCGCCAGTTCCAAGCCACAGCGAACCGAACGCCCAGCAGACTACACTTCGCCGCTACTGGCCGACCCTAGTCGGTCTGACGTTCTTCTGCGCTTCTCTTGTGCTCTTTTATCGGTCTCTCCACGTCTCGGAGACACAGTGCGCGGAGCGACTGTCTGCATACTGTAGGTGTTGATTCTGAGGACCAAGGGACGTACTCACAAGTTGGAACGTATGCACACTAGCTCCTGCAATACAAGCAGTGGAGTACAACGACGTGGTCTTCAACGGCTCTCTCCGTCACCCATCCGAGTTCCGCGGGTCTCCCACTCCGGAGCTCGACGCTGCATGGGACAGAATCAGCGGCCGTGAGTCATTTCACTCGGAACCCGTCCGGCCAGCTCACTCCCCTCGCCAGTCCGACCACTGCGTCTGTCCGAAGACGACCTTGCGAAGATCGGGAAGGAGTCGACGCCGTCCCTTGCCAAGTACCACGAGGAAGACGGAGGGGGCTACTTCGCGACCATCGAGATCGCGCATCACATGCACTGTCTGGTACGTCACGTACCATACGGCTCATACGGATGAATCTCACATCTGAGGCCACAGAACATGCTCCGCAAGGCCACCTACTGGGACTACTACGCACCACTCGACGACAGCTACCAGAAGGACCCCGACTTCCACCGCGTGCACCTAGGTACGTGCTTCGCCACCCGCCACCCCCGGATCACCCGCTGACCGCTGCCCCTTAGACCACTGCATCGAGCTGTTGCGGCAGAGCCTCATGTGCACAGCCGACGTCGGGCTCATCACCTTCAACTGGGTCGGGAACCACCGCACGCCCTGGCCGGACTTCAGCACGCAGCACCGCTGCCGGAACTTCGACAAGATCGTTGACTGGAATCAGGCGCATAGCGTCCTGATCTACGGGCCCAGCCTCACGCGCACCGAGGGCGTGGTGGACTTGCCGGAGCCAGGGCCTTGAGGCTTGAGAGACGTCCTGTTCGTGGCGATGCTAATATAAATTATAACTTAATGGTACTATCAAGGCACAGCATGAATTCGATCGAAATGAGGTCCAAAGAGTATCGTATCGGTGCGGGAGACACCGCTACCGCTAAACGGAGTCTCGCCTCAGGACAGTACAGCGTCGCGCGCTCACTGGGTCGATCGGAGCACCAGATTCGCAGCTTTCCTTCGATCCCGCCTTGTCCCACGTGTGCGCGCGGGGTCATCAAAGCGAATTCGCAGTCTGACTGATCGCGCAAACCGACCTGGAAATACGGTCAGTCAGCTCCTGCACAACGCTCTCCGTTTCCCCCATTGTACCCACGCGCTCCCCGTCGTCCTCGAACTCCATGTCCAGTCCAGAGGGTGTATTGCCAGATTTTGCGAGAACAGCGCGTTCGAAATCCTCCCAAGTCAGGTCTGATGGCAGCGCCATTCCTCGAACCACGCCTTGATAGTGCAGCTAATAGCAATCCACATCAGCTACGTCAATGATCGCAATAGAAGAAACTAAAGTCAAGGTAAAGTGCGGGTGGACCGTGTCTTAGGAAACTGCAATGATAGGTTCACCTTCACGCGAATCATAAAATGCTCCTTTGCTCGAACTGTAGGACTTGCCGGAGCATCGACGACCGGTGATCGTGAGCGTAACGGATACGGGGACTCGGCGCGGTTCGCAATCTGGGAGGTAATCTGTCCCTGAGGCAAGGCTTGTTGTGCAAGGGGCGCAGCAAAGAGTTTCGCTGATGATGTCCAGGGGAGGTTGCGAGAGGTAACTCCGCGCCTGTCTCTCGGACTGTGTTGGATATCCAAACCGACCGTGCACTGACTTGGACTGCCTCATGAGCTGCGGCGCCCGCCAGTGCTGCACTCTGAACTTTTGTCGGAAGAGCGAGACAACTTGGACCAAACACTTGCCAGCCCACATCTCGCGCAGTGCTGCGCGCCGTGCGCGGAAAGAATGGAAGTCTGCGATCGTATTCAGCATCGGTGTTTTCAAGTTGGGAATCGTGCGTGCTGCCATCCTATGTAAGATAGGAATATGAGGGCGAAGCTGATAGCAAGGCTTGTAGTTGCGTATGTACCAAGTTTTCCACGATCATCGAGCTTTGTACATGTTGGATTTGGTCCTGGCCATCATTATGCTCATGATGTCCTCTGCCTTCAGAATCATGTGGGCAGGCTTCCGTCGTCTCACGTCCGGCAAGTAAACACGGAAGGCCTTATTACGCTTGTTCCCTGAAAAGGAAGAGAAAAGGCGATGTTCGCGGTTTGCATTTGGTTTTGACGCAGAGGAAGGCATGACATTGCAGGGTGAACGGTCTCTCAGTGCCTCAGATTTGAGAGTTGGGAGCGAGACGCCTCCATTCTTGAATATGATTTCGACATAGATCCGGATCCAGCATGTCCGAAGCTGAGTCCAGGTCAGTCTTTTAGAGACATCTTGAGCTTTCCCTGGCCCGGAGCAAGCTCTTACGGGGGGGGGGCGTATGGCGGCTCATATACCGTATATGGTACCACTCTGTCACAACATGCTCAACACACCATTTGCACTGGCTTAGTCCAAGGACACGTACCCAGGCTCATTCAAGTTGCGCTGGCTTTTACAGTATAAATGACGGTATTGCACTGATGTGTGACGCTGTTCATACGTTGTTGACGGCAGCGGAGTTGAGATGTACTGGTAAGTAGGTCGGCTCTTGATATAGCGATGACCTGTGCATCGCGCCGTTCACTGAAACTAGGATACGCCAGTGCGGCTTCAGCAATTCCAACGAACAACCGCGATGCAGTATAGCCTTACGTACCGTACTGCTTTAGGCTGACCAGCGGGCCGGTGCCAACATACTGTCGTCTCCAACACGACCGATGGCCAGACCATCGCGGATCAACACAAATCATCGCCCTGTATGTGTTGTCTACCTCCAGACACAAAGAGCGTACAACATGTGCATTACGTGCAGTATAGGGTAAGTAATAGACGTCGACAAGGTATATGCATGCTTTACTACCTCTCCTCGACCCCGTACATCGAGGCCGTCTCCGATACAGTGTCCGGAGACTCGAGAGCACCATCGAGCGAACGCACGCCGTTGAGCTTCGCCTCGCTCATGATCCTCTCAGGACGGACCGCATGGCTGCGCAGCGCCTCCACCACATACGGGTTGACGTCCCGATCGACCTCCTCGCCCCAGATGATATCCAAGTGCTCGTAGCCATGCAGCCTGCGCGCAGTCGTATGCCCGGGCAGCTGCCTCAGCATCACGTCCATGTCGACGAGCGAGTCCGAGTCGCCGTAGAGGAGCACGATCGGCGTGACGATGTTCCTCGTCGGGAACCGCGCGGGGGAGGAGCTCGTGACGCCGCTCGGGCGGTGGCGCCCTGCGGCGGTGCCCGACACGCGGATGACCTTCTGCACGTCGTCGTCGTACATCTGGAACTTTGCGTTGCGCATGATCTGGAACCAGTGCACGACGGCCTTGACGGACGAGAAGGAGTAGAGGTGCGCGTACGCGGCGGACTTCTGGAGGGGGGAGATGTTGTGGGATTGCCAGCCGAAGAGGAAGCGCAGGGAGTGGTTGATGACGGCGCTGAAGACGGGTGGATAGAGGAGGGATTGCCAGGCGGGGGCCGAGGACAGAATTGCTCTGCGGCCAAAGATGAGGAACAGCAGGGTGGGACTGATAGCGGAAGTGACATATTAGAACGTGCCATACACGATGTTGATCTGGAACTCACGAGGCCTTCATAAGCCCGTCCACGATCGACGCGTGAAGGCCAGGTGGACTCATGGCCGGTGCGAGCGCAATAAAGACATTGACCTTGTCATTCAACTGCGGATGAATGCTCAGCGCTGCAAAGGCCTGCGCAGTACCCTGACTGAAGCCAACGTAGCTGAGACTCGGCTCCTTCGTCACGTCCAGGATGTATTCAATGGAATCCGGGATGTCATGCCAGGCAAAGTCGTCGATACTGTAGTTCCAGAACTTGGTGCTGTTTGGGTTGTGGTGGATGCTCTTCTTGGAGTACTTGTTCCCGCGATTATTTCCCAGCCATACATCGAAGCCGAGCTCGACAAGTGTGAAGGCGATACTCCGGGCCGGGTCGGTGAGGCAGACCCAGACCTCGCTGTTCATGAGGAGGCCGTGATGGAGGTACACTACAGGCTTGCCGGTGCTGTATCCCCGCCTCCCAGTGTCTTCCCCCCGACGGAAGGGCAGTCTGTGGAGGCCAAGCAAGTAGCCGTCTTTGGTCATGACGACGTGCTCCTCGTGCGTGTAGCCAAAGATTTCGCAGAGTCGTTCAAAGTCAGGCGCGCGTCGGATGTTTTCTGCCAGTGCTTTGTGGGGAGAGGGAGGGGTGGGTGGGCCGACGATGGCGTGCCAGAGAGTGCGCGAGTGGTTGTAGAACCATTGGATGACGGATGTAGGGAGGAATGCGATGACGAACGTAAGGACGGTCTCGAGGGCAACAAAAACGGAGCCGAAGAGGATGGCGGTATACTCGCGCCCGGTGAGGCGGCCAATGAGCGGGATGTGCGGCATGGTCCCGAGCGAGTGAGAGACGGTGACCGCGCGACGACGACCGACTCCCACAGGCGCCCATCTCGTCACTCGCCGTGCATGTGATTCTGATCGGTGGGTCCTCAACGTTTCAACGTCGTCCCTCATATAATGGGTAAGTACCTACAAACGGTCGTCGCAGACAGACCCGGACACGATAGGCTTGGAATGGACGAGTGCCGACGAAAGTAGATGCAGGAGAGGGAACTCTGGAGCTACTCAGTTATGTCCGTACGCATTCGATGAAGGCTTCAGTACTCAGCCACTTCTTGCGGTGACGAGTCCTCGAGTCCTCGCCAATAGAATGTCATCTTTACCGTTGGCCGCACCGCGAAACGTCTCAACCTAGGATGCACCTTGCTACTACCAGCAAAACTAGGTAACAGAGCATTCCAGCGCAGACAGATTAGTTGTCAAGCCTATGTACACGAAGCCCCATAAATACAGCGCATTTTGGTCACAGCAGCGAGCCTACAGATCACCCTCCTCACCAGCCCTTGGCAGCCTTGATAAAGGCCCGCACCTTGGCCATATCCTTGCCCCGCCTAGTGCTCGACTCCACGCCGCCGCTCACGTCAATAGCCCACGGGTGGACCGTCTCCACCGCCTCCCTGACGTTCTCCGGCGTGAGGCCCCCGGCGAGGATGATCGGCATCCTCCCATCCGCGCCCTTCACGCCAGGCGCCTCGCCGCGCTCCACCACCTCCCGCGCGATGTCCCAGTCCAGCGTCACCCCGCCGCCGCCGCTGAGCCCGTCGCCGCCGGGGCGCACCGCGTCCAGCAGCACAAACTGGTTCAGCCCCGGCCTCGTGACCTCCGCGATCGCGTCCAAGCCGCGCTCCCCGACATGCACCACGCGCACGACGGGCACGGGCAGGAACCTCGCCCACTCCGCGGGCTCGCGCCCGTGGAGCTGCACCATGTCCAGGTGCGCGACCTCGACCGCGCGCACGATCTTCTCCAGCGGCGCGTCCTGGAACACGCCGACGAGCAGCGGGCGGTTCGGCGAGTCCTGCGGCGCGAGCGCGTCGCGCGTCGCCTTGGCGTGCGCCGCGAACCACGGCACGCGCTCCATCTCCGCGCCCGCCCACGCCTCCGCCTGCGCGATCCTGCCCGCAAAGTTGGTCGTCAGCGAGGACGGCGTGGCGGGGGCGGGCGAGAGCGGGGGGCTGGACGAGCGGACGGGGCGGGCGAAGCGCGAGGCGTGCACGGAGACGGAGATCGCCTGCGCCTGCGCGAGCGACACCGCGCGCTTGCTCGAGGGCACGAACATGAGCCCGAGCATGTCCGCGCCGGCCTCCATCGCGCTGAGCGCCTCGTCTTCGGTGCGGATCCCGCAGATCTTCACGAGCGGCGCGTCGCCCGCCTTCTCCTTGCCCTTCCCGCCGTCCGCGGGCGGCGGCGCGGCGGGCCAGTCGAGGAGGGTGCGGATGAACGCGCGGGTGTCCTTGGCGCGCATGAGGCTCTCGCCGACGAGGACGGCGCCGACGCCCTGGCCGAGGTACGTGCGGACGTCGTCGGGGCCGGCGATGCCGCTGAGCGCGCAGAGCACGACCTCCGCGCCGGCGACCATCTCGGCGAGGCGGCTCGTCGTGGCCATGTCGACGTTGAAGTCGTGGAGGTTGCGGTTGTTCACGCCGACGACGCGCGCGCCGAGCGCGAGCGCGACGCCCATCTCCGCGGCGTTGTTCACCTCCACGAGCGGCTCCATCCCGAGCGTCTTCGCGTACGCGTAGAGCGCGCGGAGGCGCGGCTCGGCGAGCATGGCGACGATGAGCAGGACGGTGTCCGCGCCGTGGAGGCGGGCCTCTGCGATCTGGTACTCGTCGAAGATGAAGTCCTTGCGGAGGATGGCGGGGCGTTCCGCGAGCGCGTCGACGGCCTGCCGGGCGAGGCGCATGTCGAGGAGGCTGCCCTTGAACCACGTCGGCTCCGTGAGGACGGAGATGACGGACGCGCCGGCGAGGGCGTAGGTGAGGGCCTGCTGCGCTGCGTTTGCGTTCGGGGCGATGCTGCCCTTGGACGGGGACGCACGCTTGATCTCGGCCATGAGGGCGGGCTTGCGGCGTGCGCGGCGGAGGGCGTCGACGAAGGACGTGAGGGGCGGCGCGAGCGACATGGCGAGCAGGGCGTCGAGGTCGGCGGGGGATGTGCCGGGTGTGGCCTTTGCGGCCTCTACGTCGCGCATGCGCTGTGCGTAGATGCGCTCGAGGATGGTGGGGGCCTTGCCAGGGCCGTTGACGGCCTTGGACGGACCAGCGTGCGCCTGGCCGTTCGCCTGTGCGCTGCCGTTCAACCCATCCTTGCCCTCGCCGACGACGCCAAACTGCTTGTTCTCCTCCGCGTCCCAGCGACCGCCCTTGAGTTTGAGAAAGTTGCGGAGGAGGTCGTCGCCAGACTCTGAGAGGATGCTCTCTGGGTGGTACTGGACGGCCTCCATGGTGTACTCGCGGTGGCGGACGCCCATGATGACGCCGCTCTCCTGGGTGGTGGCGGTGACGGCGAGGCAGTCGGGGAGGGAGGGCGCGCCGGCGCTGAGGGAGTGGTAGCGGGTGCACTTGATGGACTGGGGGACGGCCTTGAAGATGCCGCGGCCGTCGTGGCGGACGTGGGAGACCTTGCCGTGCACGATCTCGCCTGCGTATCTGGATGGGTGGTCAGCGATGGGCGCAAACGGGTGACGGAGTGACTGACGATACTTGGCCGCCATACGCATCGACTAGGCACTGGAGGCCCATGCAGACACCGAGGATGGGGACCTTGCCGGTGAAGTAGCGGATGGCATCGCGGGAGATGCCCGAGTCGGTGGAGGGGTGGCCGGGGCCGGGGGAGACGATGAGGGCGTTGATGTGGAGGGCGGGGAGGTCGTCGGGGGCGATGGCGTCGTTGCGGACGACGGTGACCTGTGCGCCGAGGATGGAGAGGGCCTGGTAGAGGTTCCAGGTGAAGGAGTCGAAGTTGTCGATGAGGAGGACGTCGATGGGCGCGGTGAGGTCGTCGGGGAGGGGCATGGCGGGCGGGGCGGGTGAGCGGCGGGCGGGGCGGGTGAGCGGCGGGCGTGGTATAAGAGCGTCCGCTGTGTCCGCTGTGTAGCAGAGAATGGAGGCTGAGAGCGAGTTGCCGTGGCAGACTGACTCCGACAGGCGCCCAACCCTAACCCTGCCACAGGGCCTCCCTCAGCCACCCGCGTCCACCGGCTCTTTGATCGGCATCGATCAGATCGGCTGACACCGTCCGCAGAGCCCAAACGCCGCGATCGCACTACCAGTTCCTCCACGGACATCTCAGTAACGAGTCAGCCACCTGCGGTCCATCAGCTCGCATGCCCCGCACAAGTCACCTCCGACCCCAGAGCGCGCGCTGAGCATGTTTGTAACAGACTGGTCGCAGAACCATATAGGTCCTCGTCCACTCCCCGCAGCTGCCAACTGCCATGCCCGACTCTAAACCCGCCCTTTCCAACGAACCGTCCGTGGGACCTGCAAGCGAACCACCCGCGCAGACAGCACACCAACTGTGCTCTCCCCGCAACATCCTCGTGCTCGCCGCCTCCTCGCTCGCCATCGCATTCCTCCAGTCCACCACAGTGCGTACGCGCAATATACACCGACCCCAGCCAAACTCACCCTCCACCCCCCACAGATCTCGCCCAACGCTCTGCCGCCCGCCTCGCACACGCAGCCCATCCCACACTGCTTCCGCCCCGCCCACTGGGAGCTCTCGCCCCCCGGCCTCGACCCCCGCACAGCGCACGCCTCCTTCACGCTCTCCACCTTCTACGACTCCCTCTTCATCGACGCGCTCAACCCCAGCACACACGGCTCCGTCCGCTTCGTCCTCGCCGACCCGTCCGACCCGCCGCCCCCAGGCCCTCCAAGCGTGGCCGTCGACATCACCGCGCGGGTCGCCGCGCGCGACGAGGCTGCCTTCCGCGCGCGCGCGAGGGTGTGCCACACGAGGCCGCGCTGGACGGAGCCCGGCCGCATGGAGGGCGTCGTCGTGTCCGTAGTGCGCCTCCCTCCCCCTTCACACCTGCCGCCTCCAGATGCTCACGCTGGCGCTGTCCGCAGGACCCCGCGGAGGGAGACGACGCAGCTGAGCGCGCGGTACCATTCGCATTCGACATCACCGTCCGTCTCCCCGCCGGCCCGCCGCGCTCGCCCGTCGTGATCCCAGCCTTCTCCGCCTCGCTGTGGAACTATGCCTTTCTCGTCGACGACCTCCGGGACCGCGTGTCCTTCGGCTCCCTCCTCCTGCACGCCATGAACGCGCCCGTGCGTGTCGAGGTACCGTCCCACCCCACACTCGAATCGCACGCTGCTGACGCGCCGACAGTCCCTCAGCGGGGCCAGCATCAGGGTCACCAGCTGGAACGGCGACATCACGGGCTCCTTCGAGGCGACGTCCAGCATCGACTTGTACGCGCACAACGGCGCGATCGCCGCCAACGCGAGCCTCGCCCGGCCCGCGCGACCCGCTGGCGCGCCGCCCGTCGTCCCCCGGCTGTCGATGGCGTCCACCGACAAGTGAGTGCCCAGCCCCGTATGCAGACAAGGTCAGCGCGTTCACCCGCGTCCTCAGACCGATTGCGGCTCATGTCTCCCTGCTCACGGCGCCTGGCGCGGGAGACGGAGACGACCCCTGCAAGCATGCGTACAGGGCCTCGTTCGCCGCGTGGCGCGCCCCGCTCTCTGTGTCGTTCCTCGCAGCGCCCAGTGACGACCTGAACCTCACCGTGTCCGCGTCGAACGCGTACGCCCCCTCGACGATCGCCCTCCCCGACTCGTTCACGGGTACGCTTTACGCGCGGTCGACTCATCCGCACATCCCAACGGTGCACCATGAGACGGAGTCGCAGCTGGAGATGCACGGCAGGACGGTGTCGAGGGGCGAGTATGGCGAGATGCACGTCGTGTCCGGGGCCGTGCGGAGAGGAGATCGGGCGTGCGGAGAGGTAGATGCACAGGCTGTGCAGGGCGACGTGGCATTATACATCTAGTAGACTGTGTCACTCAGCCTGTGCCGGACTGTCGTGCCCCGACGCCGAGGCCAGCCAACCGGATGAACTACAGTGCTAATACACAACTTGCCAAATACGGCATATCACCTCGAGACGCCTGCGCGTGGGCGTGCTCCCTTGCGGCTAAGGACGGCCGAAGCGCCGTCGACGAAGAGTAACATTCAGAACACACGGCCACCTTCAATGGCTTGGTCGCGCGCGATGATGTGTCGCCACTGTACGGGCTCTGGCTTGTTGAGCAAAGGCTGTGTTGTGGCGGTGCCGAGGTAAGCAGTGAGGATGCTTCTCCCCCTACAGTTACTCAATACATCGAATGCCATGACACGGAAGACGACATATGCTAGATCCCAGCTGCCAAGCACGCACCCTCGAATAACGCGTGTCGCCGTGTCCAACGTTCAACCGTAACGCATCTGGACCCGGTTCGCTGCGGACTCGCGCAGACGCGTACGGTACCGTCTGGGTACCGTGGCGGACGGAAGCCGTCATGGTACTTACGTGATGTACATCCAAGCAAAGTAGGCTCTCGATCAACTATGTAAGTTGTCCGCAGTTCGAGGGGTACGTCCCTGATCGATGCCGGCGCACTGCCATGCAGTTGGTGGTTTGTTCTGATCACTCAATTCACATCGGATGTAGCATCGCCGTCCGCTGCTGCAACCGTCAGGATCAGATATCTGCCATATACTGCGTCCCAGCCTCATGACGCGCTGCGGTCAGGCAGTGCCCGTTACATATATATGTTCTGGTTGGCACCGCGGAGCCCTTCATCAAGTCCCCCTTTCAACTGCACCGTCGCTGTCCTCGCATGTCGACTCCGCCGCCGACCCCTCCCATGCAGGGCGGTAGCTCGCACCCAGCCCCCGTCGTCCTCGACGAGAGCGCCGAACGCGGCTCCCCTGCTCAGATTTCTTACGTCGACGCCGCGGGAGACCAAGACGCTGCTGAGACCGATAGGCTGCTCCCTACCACTCCTGAATCCGCACCTCTCGCCATTCCCGACGTGACCGAACATCAGGCTACGTCTGACGAGAAGAAAGGCATCATGTCCCGGTTCTCGGAGCGTCTGCGCGCGATACCGTCCACGGTCCCTACTGTCCATGTCCCCGGGCTTCAGCAGATGACTTTTGATTATCCTTTCCTCCAGCGGCTGGGCCGCGTGCGGCTTCCGGAGGACGAGGAGGCTGTTCGAGACAGACAGCCTACGGCTCCCTCTCGCTTCGCCAATTGCTGGACTGCCATCAAGAAGAGGCAGTTCCGCATCCGGTGGTGGCACTACGTGTTGCTCGTTCTTGTGATTTTGGCGGCCACGATCCCACCCATTGTCGTCACGGCCGTGCGCCATGCTCGTAGGGTACGTGCCATACTCAATGCATTTACATACGACTGATGGCTCCTACTGTGGTCTGGTGCAGCATTCTTACCGGCCCACGCCTGCTTACCAGAGGAGATGCGGCAATCCGGTGCAGCTATCCCTGCGCCTCGACGAGCCCTTCTACCGTCAAGGCCGCCAGGAATACCTTCATGCCGCGAGCGCATCGTTCGGCGTCCCCGCTGACACGCGCCTGGAGCTCAACGCGTTCGCCTCGCATGGTAACGTCCGCTTCGTTCTCGACAACAGCACCGACCCAGCCTCAGGGTGTGGCGACCAGTCGCGCCGCAACATCACGATCGACGTCACTGCCTACATGGATGACTGGAACGCATTCAGACCGAGTGTCGAGGTGTGTCGCGGGGCTCCTTGGGGCTTCACTCGCAACACAGGTCTGCACGTCCGTTTCGCAGTAAGTCCGGTTTTCACCAACAACTTATATCATACTCATCCGTCTTCGCAGGGTGGCCAGTGGCACGGCAACATGAGAACGGCATTCGATGTGACCGTTCGCCTACCCGCTGGGTCTGCTAGTCACCCTGTACGACTCGGCAGCGTCTCGGGCAATCTTCAGGACTTCGAGGTCTCCATCGACGATCTCCAAGGCCTTGCCGTCTTTGACGATTTCTCGCTGTTCGTGATGAACATGCCGATCCACGCGGAGGTATGCCGTTCATAGAATGTTTGATACTTCAGGAGTTCATTGGCATCGCAGTCGCTCGTCGCCGCGAAGGAAATCAAGCTCCGTACAATGAATGCACCCATCAGTGGGACATTCATAGCGCCGCGCATCGACCTCAATGCCAACAACGGAGAGATCAACGCCAACGCCAGTCTCGTAGCAAATGCAACCGTATCGGGGGTGACCAATGGCTGGCACTACAATAATCTGTACCTGATGATGCAGTCGACAAACCGGTACGTACTGCTCAGAGGGGCACACAAGCTATGTTTCTGACTGTGTCTGCAGAGCAATCACTGCGAACGTCGGCCTCGTCAAGCCGGCGGGCATGCGCATCGATCCAGTGCTCCCCATCGACATTAGGACGAACAATGCGCCCATCGACCTCACGGTCGCTGCCGGATCGAACTTGACCGTAAGCACCCACACGACGTTCGCCCCGACGACCGTCAAGCTCCCTGGCACGTACACTGGCGATTTCTCCTTGAACACCTGGAGCGGCTGGCAGCAACCTGTGGTACACTTCGACCGGGAGCACGACGAGCGCACCATGCAGGTCACTTCGCTCACCGACCGCGGTGTCTCGGGTAACGTACGCCTCCCTGGCTCATCGCCGCGTCCTTATGTGACCTTCTCACCGCGCGGGAGTCGTGTCACTATGAGTTCGCAGAACGGTGACCTTGATCTGTATCTATAGGTGTCCCGTCCTTGTTCGAGCTTTCCACGCTTCAGTACCGTTGGTCGTTCGGCGTGTCACATTGAGATGTGACTCGGACGAGATGACGTGGTTTGATCTTCGTACGATGTTTAGCAAACGGTATCAGGAGCTGAACTAGTCGTGAGTACATAAACGAGGATGTTGCACATTTGGTGCACGTTTTGCATGATCCCGATACTTCACATAATGATATAAATTATGACTAGCAAACACCCGTGCACTGCACGGGATGCGGTTCAAGGTTCACGGTTCACTGCACAGAGTTCAGAAGGTAAGTCAGTAGTATGATAGATTTTGAAGCGGAAGTTGAGGGGCGCCCCTCGCGCCCGGGGCGGCGCCCGGGCGACTCGGGGCCCCCGTTGCGCGGTCACGTGCACGGAAGGGGCCACGGTGGCTCTGCTGCGGAGCTTGCAGCCAATCACAAAGCCGAAATGTCGACGCGGTGGAGACACCGCGTTTTTGCTTAGTATAGGATGATTGGAACCATGGTCGTCATAGTGGACGACAAATCCGCGGATTATACCAGGCTATGGGACCTTGGCAAGGACAGGGACGAAACCCCTCGAGCTAAGGAGAACGTACAGGTGAAGGTGAGGAATGGGCTTCACAGGCTGTACTGTAACGTACACGAGGTCAATGTACTTTTGCGCAACGATGATGCGGCAGCCGGATGTGCTGCTCGTTGACTGGGCTGAGGAGGCGTCGAGCGCGATATACCTGTACTCGATGAGCCGCGAGGGCATCCGTCGCCCGGACGAGGCTCCTTCAGGCTCAGGGATCAAGGCAGAGCACGATATGTAGATGGCATTAGCAGAGCAATTGCCCGACCACAAGGATACGCAATGTAGACGCACTATCATCTATTCCAAGCAGGCGTATGAGTAGTACATACGTCAACTCCAGACAACTGCTGATACTAGCACATGCACGCGATGTTCTACTGCCCGACGTCGAGCGCGCACGGGCAGCCTCGCGCAGACTAGTGATTTATCACACTACGCACTACGCATGTATGTAGTTCTAGGGCCCACCGCGCGGCACGCAAAAGCACCTACACGAAGCGGGCAGCAGAGAGAGTAAGAGGCCATGCGCGCACGCAAACAAGAAAGACGACCAAATGACCAAGCAAAGCAGAGAGAACATATAGCGAGTAGTGAAATGTAGTCCGTGATTATCAATATTCCTTCTTCCTAGTATTCCTTGAGATATCCGGGGGCACAGGCGACGACGACGGTGACGCGAACGGGCGACGAGCACGCGCACGCTCACTCGTCCGTACACCAGATCTCGAGGCGGCCCTCCGCCTTGCCCTTGGCGCTCTCGCGCGCAGTCTCGATGGCGAGCTCGTAGTCCATCTCGTCGCGCAAGCTCACCTGCACGAGGCGATCCAGTCAGTCACACACACAAAGAAAGCGTGTTCGGACGCGCCGCACCTTGCCGCCGTCCTCGTCCTTGAACTTCATCCCGAGCCCGTCGAGCGAGCGGTTGAACTTGCTCGTCACGCGCTCGAGGAACTCCTCCCACAGCATATCGGGCGTGAGCGCCATCCCGCGCACGTCGTCATTATAGTGCAGCTACACCCGCACTCTGATCAGCACACCGCCACGCCAGACCACGCGCGCACGCCCACCGAGCACTCACCTTCACGCGGATCTTCATCAGCTCCATCGGGCCCTCATCCCACTCCCCGCTCTCATACCCCTCCTCCTCCTCATACGTGCTCACCGCGCGCTTCGCCATCGTCGGGCGCCTCGTCGGGCGGCGGCGCATCCCGCCCGCGGAGCTCGCGCTCGAGTACATGCTCGTCGGCGGCACCTGGTTGCGCCCGCGCATCGTCCCCGCGCGGCGCGGCGCGCCCGCAGCCCTCATCTCCGGCACGGGCGGCAGCGGGTCGTCCGCGTACCCGTCCAGGTAGCTGTCGTAGATCTCCGTCGTGCGCACCCCGCCCTGCGCCGGCGCGCTCGCAGGCCCGGGCGACTGCATCCCTGGCTTGCGGATGCTCAGCCCGCGCGTCGGGCCCATGCCGGCGCCCCCGCCCATGCGCCCTGCGGACGTGTTGGAGCGGCCGAGCGGCGCGGCGGACGCGGGCGGGTTGTTGGGCGGCGAGCCTGCGCGCGGCGATCGGTCGGTGGGCGCAGAGGCGGGCCCGGTGCGTGAGGGAACGGAGACGTTGATGGTCGTCATGGAGCGCTGGAGGGGCGGGGCGCGGAAGTCGTCGTCCGTCTCTGTGGATCGCAACACTGTCAGCTTCGTCGACGGTGAATGAGAGGTGAGACGCACTCGGGGGCGGGACGGGGTTGGCCAGGGTTGCGGAGCGAGTGAGCGGGCTGACGGCGTCGGGGGTTAGGCCCAACGACTGCTTCATGCGCGCGACACCCGTGAACTCGGTGAACGCTTGCGACGCGTCTTCGGCGGCGACGAGTTTCTTGCAGAGCAGACACAGTCAGCCAGGCGGTCCCAAGACGGAGGCGATGTTACCAAAGTATGCCAGAGAAGTGATCGAGGAAGGCTACACGAGATGCACATCGCCGCACAAGTGATGGTCAACACTCACCGCCTTGCCCATGTAGTCCTTTGTCTTTGCGTTCTTGAGCTTCTTCTCGGCGGGGCGGTAGAGCACGCCGACGGGCTAGAGAGCGTCAGCGCGAGATGGCAACGGAAGGACGGGTGGACGCACGATGGAGAAGACGGTGTAGCCATCGCCGCGGTCGGTGATGGCATCGTCGATGACATTGTGCTCCTCGGTGGCCTTCTCCCTGCGGGCGTCCTGGAGCTCGCGGAGGCCCTCGTCGACCTGGCCGAGGTATATCCTGGCGAGGCCCTTGTTGAAGAGGACCTCTGCGGAGTAGAGCTTGAACTTGAGGCCGAGCTGCTCGTAGTTGATGTCGCCGTTGCCGCGGAGGTAGAGGAGGGCATCGTCAAAGTCGCGGAGGGCGAGGTCGTAGCGGCCGAGGAGGAAGTTGGATACGCCGGACTGGAAGTAGCCGACGGCGAGGTACTGGTCGAGCTGGGTCGCGGCGGCGAACTGCTCGACGGCGGCCTCGTGCTCGCCGAGGGTGGCGTAGATGAGGCCCATGTTGGTGAGGATCTTGGAGCTGTCAGCGATGGTGGCGAAGAGCTCGAGGGATTTCTCAAAGTCCTCTTCGTCGTAGGCCTTGAGGGCGGCGGCCCAGGTTTCGAGCTCGGCTTTGAGAGACATGGTTAGACGGGGAGGTGAGGGCTACTAGAAATTGTGGTGCCAAGGGCCCGGGACGGTTTGTGCGAGAGTGGGCGGACGAAGAGAAGACGGTCTGGGAGTCGAAGGCGAAGGGGAAAGCGCCTGGCTGTGACAATAATGGAGAAGCCGAAAGGGGAGAGAGACCAGCACCCTGGGCGACCAGCGGGCGAAAGAGAGAGTTATAAGGAACGAAGGAAGTGAGGAAGAGAGCGGGGACCGTCGGCTAGCAGGTATGATATATGAGGGCCTGTTGGGCTGTGGTGGGCGAATGTCGACCTCTGATCAACAGTCCACGGCGGGCGCCTGCAGTGTCGTGGATGGCAGCAGCCGTCGTCGCGCCTGTGCTCGTTCTCGCGGGTGTCTTATACGACTGGTGCTGGCTGGCTGTGGCTCGACTGGCCCAGAATGGCCGTGCCGTGGCCACGCCCGCCGTAGCCATGCCAACATCCCGGCCGCCACCTCCGCACCCGCATATGGCAGTCCCATCTCCATATCTGGCCAACAACAGCTCCTCCAGTCGTTCGCACGGGCCATGACGCTCTGTCGCACGCCTCCCAGCCTCCGCACAGCGTCCAGCGCTGCTGTCTACACTGACCTCCGGACCCGCCAGAGACGGAACGCGCAGTCTTGTTATGGGAACTGTTGCCGTCCCAGGCCACGGCGCGTCCTCCGCACAGCAAACATGCTCCCTTCATATCGTCCTGATCTCCGTTCACTAACCTCATAGTATTTGATTGTCATCCTGGCCATCTCAACATCCTTGCAGCGATACCCGCGCGGGGCCGACCCTCGCAGCAGCATCACCCTCCCAGTGAGCGCTTCCGTTTGTCATGACCGGCCACATAGGCTCTCCCTCAGCGTGTATATGTATGACTGCGGCGCCGAGCAGGCTGCGCTGCGCATCGTGGCACAACAATCGTACAAGTTCACGTTTCACGGCACGGTCAACTCGCTGTCGCATACTTTTGAGTGTGAGCGCAGTCTGTCCCACCCGTGGATTCTGTCAAATGCACTCTGATGCCATCCTGATGTCGGACGACCCGCATACCTTGGCCAGGCTTGAGCCAGCCTCGTTATACTCGCTCTGCGCGCGCATTCCGCACAGGCCCATCTGACTGTATTCCCCGTGCGGGACCCTCCTTACATCCTGCCAGAACGCGTTCTCTCAGGCACAACGCAGCTTGACGACTTCGTGAGTGCTCCGTTGCTCAAACGTTCATTTCTCACCCCAATCTCACCCATCACAACCCACGAACGCGGATCGCGAGTCTATCTCGGCGGCGTGCTACTACTCACCCCAGCCTCAACGCAGCTTCTCCCTCGTAGCGGTATCCGACACCGTTGTCGCAGTAATCACACGCGGACGGCGCGCGGTCGACCTGCGATGGTCCGCGGTAAATGAACTGCAAATGAACGGAACATAGGACGGTAGCCCGCTGAGGTTCCCGAACGCAAATCGACCATCGTCCACCGACCTCCGACTGTATCTCCAGTCACATCCGCCTAGTAACAAGCCCACCGCCAGCCCAGTGGCTGAGCCCACCGCAGATCGACCCTCTGCGGATCAGCTCTCCCGCCTCACGGCTTCCAGCAGCCACGCGGCTCAGCGGTTTGCGGGCACTCTGCCCTCTGCCACCGATCACCCTGCTCTTCGCACCCGTACCCGCAGCAGACAACCCGCCTTCCAGGCCCGATTGGGACGCACCTGCACTGGTCACCCCCGACAGTGGCGCACTCGGTCGATGCTAGGGTCGTGCATGTACAGGCGGCGCGGGCGAGGCGCCGCCGTGCAAGCCTGTGGTTTCCGTCTATGCCAGCTGTCGATGTCCACTGCCTGCAGAGATCGATGAGGACCTGGCCTGGAGATCACTGACTGCATCGCTGTATGAGGATCGTATGTCGGCCCACACAGCGAGCGATGTTAGAAGGCCAATTGCCTTGGCATTGTGAAGGGTGCGAGATCCGTGAGTCGCGTCCGCATACACTTATTTGATTCATGCCACAGCGAGAAAACCGTGGTCAACTGTGGGGAGAGCTCGTGGAACAAGCCGCATCTCAAGCTCACGAACGCCATCCTCCCGGGATGCCGCGCTGAGGTGCTGAAGTTGTGCAGACCGTCGGACCTGGACATGATATGTGTCTACAGCGGTCCGGATCTCATCATCCGCGCCCATGCTGAACAGAACACGTATCGCAAGCCAGATCTACTTACTGTACATCAACTGGTGCGGAACTCGGTGGGATGGCACACAAGCACGAAGCTGGGAAACCAGGTCGCACAGTCGTCCGACGAGGAGCTTCCGCTCAAATCGGACTGGGTGCTTTGGGATGATATGGCGGATGAGCGAAGGCGGCGTTGCGCAAACAGCGGCTCAGGATAGGCTCGACGGTCGAGGGACCGTCGAGTATGTAATGAAACGATGACATTACAACCTGCCTGTTACTTATTCACGTGTGTTGTAGCTATAGATTGAATAGATTGTTTTACTCATCTGACTTCGCTGACGTTGATGTTGTACGACGCTGTACAGTACTAGTGCCGCCTACCTGCCACTGCGCATCTCCCAGCGGCTGCCTACACCCCATTGCATCGAGTCAGCCCGGAAAAGAGACTACTTCCTAGATGATACGTCGCCTCTGATGCCAGACGTATGGGACCTTAGTGCCACTCTCACATGGAGGCGGTACAGACGTGAATGTTGGCTTCATCCGACACGGAGACACAGAGGAGTACGTTGTCCATTGACTTGCAGTATTAACCATCAAATGCACCTTGTGTAATCTCTATTCCGAAATTAGTCCTTGCAAACCCCCTCATAGTGCGCTCTAGTTCGTCCTCGAAGCCTTCTCCCTTGAGACCCACCATTCGCAGCGCCCACTGCCGAACCCTGGTGACATAGAATGCAAAGTCCAAGAAGGTAGTAGCAAGGAGGAATGTGAAGTATCTGCGATACTCGGCCAGGCGCTCCGCGAGTGTGAGGGACGGGTCAGTGGTGAGCGAACGCGAGGCCCACGAGCCGGTGATGCGTATGCGGTTCACGGGCGAGCCATACTGTTGATTGTTGCCTGTGTGACGAGTGCTCGAATTGTGAGCGCTCGCGGCCAGGTCATACACGCAATACTCACCTTGCACAATGCGCATGTTCCGCCCAATGAAGATGAGTTCCTTGGGGATCTTATCCGTGTTCGTCAAGAACTTGCGTAGCCTCTCCTTCAGCTGGACGCTCCGCTCGTACTCTGACATCTCCGTCCACCGCCGACTGCCGCTCTCACCACCAGCCGACTTCCCACTCCGTCGGAGCTTCACAGGCCGCATCAGTGTTGCACTTGCGAAGAGGCCTGCCTCGCCGATCCCCCACTCCTTGGCAACCGCTTCGACCTCGCCGTAGTCGAGCGTCAACAGGCCCTTCCACAAAACGGCATACTGGCGCTGGAACTCCGGTCGGCAGCGGACATAAAGGCCATGGTCGAGGAGCACGAACTGGGGGCGTCCGGGGTGCTGTGGGTGCGGGCGGACGAAGATGTTGCCGGGGTGCGGGTCACAGTGAACCCAGCCCCAGTCGAAGATCTGCGCGCTGAACAGCTCAATCATCGTCCGCATGATCCACGAGACACCGCCCTTGAGCGGGCCCTGCTGCATGATGCGAGAGTAGTCGGGCCCGGTTGCCGACGGTGTCGAGGGGATCACGTCGGCAGGGGAGGCTTCGCCCATGAGCGCGCGGATGGCGCGCCGGTCTGAGAGACGGACGCCGTCGATCCACTCGGCGACCATGACCTTCTTGGTGGACAGCGCAGGGAACACCTTGGGTACGTAGACTTTGTCCGCAAGGCGCGGCTCGGCAGCGACAAAGCGGGCAGTCTCTTGGGCGTTCTTTGCCTCGAGCTCGAAGTCAAGTTCGCGTCGGAGGTGGTCACAGATAAAGTCTACGACGCGGTACTATCAGTATACACACAAAAATAACAAGGAAAGGGGGCCGCACCAACAGTGAAGTACACCGGCATGTCGAAGATGTACTTCTCGTAGATCCACATGACGATCCTGTATGCACCGAGGTCCCACTCAACTTGCCGGCTGACGTCCGGCTTCTGGACCTTGACCGCCACCCAATGCCCGCCGTCCTCCGGCCTGAGCTTCGCGCGATGTACCTGCGCGATGCTTGCGCTTGCTGCGGCTTGCTCTTCGAAGACCTCAAACACGCCGTCCGGGCCGGCGGGCGGACGGCCGAGCTCGCGGCGGAAGACCTTGTCGACGACAGAATACGGAACTTGCGGGGCGTCGTCGAAGAGCTTTGAAAACTTGTCTTGCATTGGAGCAGGCATGAGCGCGGCGTTGTTCGCGAAGGCTTGGCCTACGCGAGCGAGTCGCGGGTGGTCGGTCAGCGTTCACCCAGAGCTGTCCGGCGTACTTACCGATCTTGATATAGAGCCCGCCATTGGAGGTGAACAGGTCGTATACGCGATCTGCGACGCGTGCGTGGAGGGCGGGAATCTCGTGGCTGAGCTCAGGTTTGAAGTTGAGCTTGTAGTCGAGGGCGATCATGGCACACTGTGAGGAAGCGATCGTTCTGTGAGCACAGAAAGATCACCGGAGCCACTGCATCGTGAGTACGAGGTAGTATCTGCATTCCTCCGCCGAAAGCAGATGACCAGCCGGTGTGATGGGCAGACACGCCGACCCGTCGGACTGCGACGCTCTCTCGTGCATTGCAGTGGGGGATGGAAGGAACAAGACGTACCGCCCAGAACGTACGTAGATTTCTTGTGACCGCCGACGCGTTGAATTCGGTGTCCACGAACCACAGGGCCCCGAGAGTACCCGCGAAGTAGAGCGTCCGGCGGGCATACCTCGCTGTTCGAGAGCTCGACTGGGGTATCGAGGCTTGCCGATGCGACACAGAAGCGTAAGGGCGAGAATAGGTAAGCCGCGAGGAAAGTCTAGGGCCTGCGAGCTTGGGGCGAAGGAGACTGGTCGTGTGAGCGCAGGCACGAAAGGCGGCTAGGCGCGAGTAGGACAAGACCATGTCAATAGGGTGTGATTATGAGAGATATTAGCTACTGCTAGATGTCTAGTTCGACGACATGAGGGGGGATGCTGGCGGGGACATGGACATGGGACGCTGGACGACGAGGCGAACATGGTGCGGCGAGCGTGACACTGACAGAGGCGCGTCGTCTGCCGGGCGTACGCGTACGGAGCGCGTGACGTCACGGCCGTTCCGTCATCCGAGCCGATCGGCGGTCTGTGTATGTCGTAAGGACGCGATGTTCGAATTACTACTGTGATTGCATGTGTGTACAGACGTAAACATGACACACAAGGCGGCCCACGCGCCATCCAGCGAAGAACAGATTTAATCTAAGTAACCTCCTCCCTTCCATCCCTTCCTTTCGTCCTTCCGGTCTTACATCGCCTATCGCAACAGCCCGAGCTTCATAAATACCCCCTCTCAAGACTCCTTTGCTCGCCCCACCCCGCCCTCCGGCATCGTACTCGACCCAGCGGTTGGGTTCTACGCCCGCTTCCCGAGGTGCGTCCCTGCGAGCTCGCGCTCCAGCTCTGCGCTCGGGTCGTCTAGCACCGGGCTCTCCGCGCGCACCCCGCCCTGGCTGTCCGTGAAGCCAGACGTCGCCCCGTTCGGCGGAGCATTCTCGTGCACCGGCGACGACAGGATCTCTTCGCGTGTGGGGATCGGCAGGCTGCTCCGTCGTTCGAGCGAGGCGAGTGGTTCCGGGCGGAGCAGGTGGATCGGTGAGTGAATGGGACCGTCGCAATAGTGCTGGGAACGCACCTGTCCTGTCGACGGATCTGCCCAGATGCCCGCGCTTGCGCGCGCACCTCCGCGCGGAAAGTCTGCACTTCGTCAACGATCAGCCGCTTCATGCCCTCGATCGAGTCCTCCTCTTCGAAGCTAAAGTCGAACGGCTACATGGCACCAGCACGATCAGTCGCCATTCCTCGCACGGCGCAAGGAGAAAGCACTCACCGTTGGGCACACAGGCTCGTCCGCGGGGTCGTGCCAGACGGCGAGGTAGGGGTGGTTGAGCGCCTGCTCGCATGTGATGCGCTTCGCAGGATCGAAGTGGAGGAGCTGGCTAAGGAGGTCGATCGCAAGCGGATTTGCGCGCGGGAAGAGTGTCTGGAAGGGCACGCGCGGCTTGATCGGGAGCGAGCGGATGTAGTCTTGGGCCTAGCAAGTGAGTGTGTTAGCATCAAGGCGATACACACGGGGGAGTGCCGCACGCACTCTTGGAGAGCCGACGCGGCGGAGGGTATCTTCTGAGGGTGTACCGAGGTAGTGCAGAATCTGGTTGAGCTGATCGACATAGCTACGTGGAATATGAGCACGCTCTACAGCCGGAGGAGAAGCAATTCACATACTCCCTGCCCTTGAAGATCGGCTTGCCAGCGAGCAGCTCGGCGAGGATGCAGCCCACACTCCAGACATCAATTGCCGGACCCTGGAGCACAAAGACAACATCAGCACGAGTCGAACGGCGCCGCACAACACACGCACGTAGTTCGCAAAGCTCAACATGATCTCGGGCGCACGATACCACCGCGTCGCGACGTATTCGGTCATGAAGCCCTGGTTCGCAGCATTCTTCGCCGTGCCCTGTCCGTTGCCCGCGGGGCTGTACCCGCGCGCGAGCCCAAAGTCACAGATCTTGAGCTCGCAGTCGGCATTGACCAGGAGGTTGCCCGGCTTCAAGTCGCGATGCAGGACGTTGGCCGAGTGGATGTACTTCAGACCGCAGAGCGTCTGGTAGATGAAGGATTGGAAGTGCGCGTCGGAGAGGGGCTGTTGCGAGCGAATCTGCGTTGAATTGTGAGACCGTGGAGCAGGGTACAGATGAGTGTGAACGCACGATGGCGTGAAGGTCGGCCTCCATGAGCTCTTCCTGAGGATCGGCGACTAGTTAGATGACTAGTGTACCGTCGCATCGTAACAATGAACGTACGTAGAGGTAGACCTCGTCAAAGTTGCCATCTGGGCGGAAGACAATGTCCATATCGTACAGGCAAGTAATCTAGCAACGCATGAGCCTTGCGAGCGATCGCATGCGCACGCCTGCACACACATTTTTGTGTCCTCGGAAGTGGTGGAGGAGTCTGGACAGGCTCTGGTGAGATCTCGCGTGATGAGGCGAGGATAGCAAGAACTCACTTGATCTCACGAAGACACCTCTTGGTCAGGATTCTCTGTGCGCAGGAGCGTCTCTATCCGCGTATGCCGCTCATAGACGTGCATAGACCAACCTTGGTGTTAATGTTGGTGATTTTCTTGATTGCGCACCCCTCTCCGGATCTACGGTGCTTGGCCGAGACGACACATCCGTACGCACCCTGGCCGAGCTCCTTCACGAACTGATACTCGGAGTCGACGATGAAAGTCGAGTTGAGTGCCTGGAAGGAATGCCTCTGCATCGCGGAGACTGCTGGTACGCGCTAGGGAAACAGATGGAGACGATGGCTGCCGTCTGGGACGAGGAGGAGACGACGGGGAAGTGAGACGAGACGGGCGGTGGTGGCGCGGGTGGTTATAAGCAGCCATCTTGTATGAAACCGCGATCGATAGAAGCGCCCTATATGGGCTGCCATAACAGGCAAGTGTCGAGGAACGCGCAACACTGCCCTCCCATCACTGTCGCGCCCCCCACAGCCTCTGCACCGCTGATCTGCACTGTCCACACGCGCAGGCCACCACGCATCCTTTGCGTGCGATTATCGCAAGTCCGAGGTGCCCGGTAAAGGCGAACAGGGTACTCAACGTTACTCAGAACAAATCCCACTGCATCCATCCAAGGGGCGACTCGTACGCCACAGCACCGTGACCCCTGAACGGTGTTACTCGGATCTGTACATACGTGTCTTCCGAGGCGACGTCCGCGTTGAATTCTTCTCCGGATAGATTGCCTCTAATTCAATCGCAACACTGCCCGCGCGCCGCGGCCTCGCGTTTCAACGCTCCTCTACTTACGCGCTGCAGCCTCCAGGAGTTCCGCTGTTCGCCGCATGGATCGACACTCAATCAACGATCCGCTGCCGATTACCTGGTGACCAGCCCGAGGAGGTAGCCGCGTGGACGAGGTCTTCTGTGTCGTGATCGTTTACCAGGTTCAACTATTGCATGTATAAAATTGAATGAGTTAGCTGGCATGACATATGGTCACTGTGACATAACAGTGTTTGCACTCAGCCGAGTCTCTGAGCCCTCGTAGCCGTACTACCCGCACAGATGCTTTAAATGATAGGCAACCGAACTACTAGAAGTACGGCCGCCAACCACTCGCCTCAGTTGTCCTTCACGATACCCCCCTTCTTCATGTTCCACCCCAGCTGCTCGTACGTCCAACCGAAGATCAGCCCGTCATCCGTATAGTTGTGGTACGTCAACAGCGACTTGTGCATCCCCGGCCGCTTATGAATGCCGTTCAGCAGCGCCATGTCGCCCTCTGACAGGTCCAGTAGCTGATTGGGCGTAAGACTTACCACGACGACCGCACGTCAGTAATTCGACGCACCGTGATATTCGCCTTCATACGCTCAACGTTCTCGCTCTTCGGAATGACAATTATTCCGCGCTTCACGCCCCAGCTGATCACGACCTGCGCTGGCGACGCTCCGCGCTTCTCCGCGATGCCGACGACGTCGGGGTCGGTGAAGAATATCGGTTTCGCTTGGCCAAGTAGCGGGCGACCTACGCTCGGTCTATGAGCTCTGCGCTCATCCGCAACAAGGGAAATCCTTACCTAGAGGCGAGTACGCAGTGATCAAAATACCCTTTGACTTGCAAAATTCCTGCAGCTCGAAGGACGGCAGACAAGGGTGTACTTCGACTTGATTCGTCACTGGGACGACTGTGCAGTGCAATAGGAGTTCCGTGAGCGTCTTGATGGAGAAGTTGGACACGCCGATAGACTTGACTTTTCCTGCCACGGACGGGTCAGGATCGAGAGCAGTATGCAATCACTTGCTAAGCGGCAGGTCGCACGTACCTGTGTCGAGTAGCTGCTCCATCTGTTTCCAGGTGTCGACAACGGTGGGATATTGACCGCACGGAATATGTTCACCTGACGACATGGATGCACAAATTCAAATTCAGCAGGTATCTAGGGCTTGATTGATGCGACATACCCTCTTCTGTATCAGATTGAGGCCAGTGAATGAGATATAGATCGACGTAGTCCAGGCCGAGAGCCTTCAGCGACGTCTCGAATGACTCGCGGACCTTATGATGGTGTTTGTTCCTACGTGGTTTGATTAGTCAAACACCAGACAATGAATAGGTGGCGTGATACTTACGGCAGTTTCGTAGTAACGAATATATCCTCGCGAGGGATGCCGGACTCGTGGATTGCTTTGCCGACATGCTCCTCATTTGCTGTGCACATGGGGTTCAGCCCAATAGCCGGTGCATGCGCAGGGTTGCTCACCATAACCAAATGCCTGGTGCGAATGGCCAGTCATATCTCTTCTAAGCGTACTGAACATGAATGCTCACGGTATCTAGGTGACGGTATCCGTGCTGTTCACCGTTCATTAGGCAGTGTGTTCATGGCAAACGAACAATGAATGGTCACCTTCAACGCATTCTTCACCATGATCTCAACAGTCTCTCCGCCTCCTGGCGAGCCCATCCAACACCTACCCACGATCAAAGTCCGCCTCAGTACTCATACAACTTCAGCCTGAGAAAGGACGATGCTTACCCCATGCCAATCGCGGGCACCTTGCGGCCGTTATTGAATGTGAAGTACGGGACATTTGCAGCCATAGTGATGATAGAAGGGAGCGTGAGGAGCACCAGAGGTCTGCATATCTGTGGACGGGGCTCCGTCTTATATCGCTAGGGTCCCTGCGAAAGCCGAAGTGACAGGGCTGGACAAAGTCAACAGACCAAGTACTGCCCGCCGGCCCGTCCGTACAGCGCTTGTGCGATCATACACGCCGAGGTCCTCCCGTTCCTCGCGTATTCCCCACCATCCTCAGGCCGCCCTCATCGCGAACAACGCCGCGCTCATGTCCGCTCCCCATGCGGGTCATCGCACAGTTGCACGTTCGAAGCCCACCCTTAAGCTACAATAGCAGGTTGAGTGGGACCTCGGCGCGTACATAACATTAATCGTCCACGTTCGTCAATATGCCCCGCCACTCATGCGCTGCCCATCTTCTTCGTCCCCGTTGGCCTTCGAGTCTTCGTCCACGCCTCCCTGCCGACGCCCTCTCACCTTTTGATGACTACCCCACGATCGAGGACCAGCCCCACAAGCCTGTGGGCAAGCGATAGCGGCCGGAGACAGCACAGAGGGTGTACTCACGCGCCCGCGCTGCCGCATTCGCAACGCGTCGCAATGGGCGGCCGTGAGGGAAGGGAAGGAGGGAGAATACGACCAGCAGGGCTGCCGAGGAAGCTGAGTCCTCTATGTCCTCACCTCCATGCAAGCACCACCGGACCAGCCCCATGCACACAGGGTGGCACAGGCACGACGAATAACGTCCGCCGCACACTGACGCAGCGAGCATCAACTTTCCACGGAGCGCATGCTCGAGAGGCCAGAGCCCAACAAGCACGCCAGCCCGATGGACAGTAGCCCGACGCTACCGTTGAACACGTTGGGCGGTACACTCGCTGTTGCGGCCGTCGCATTGCTGTAGGAAATGGCGCCTCAACCGTCCCCCCGATGTGGGCAGTTCAGGGCGCGCGCCTCTTTAACGGTGCTATGGTGTAGTGGTTAGCACTCGGGATTTTGAGCAGCGTCTTCCCGCGACTCAGGTTCGAACCCTGATAGCACCTGCTGAGACGTTTTTTGGCACAGGCAGCTGTCGAGCGCGAGCGTCCACGCATATCTTCTGACTTTTCTCAATGCTCTTCTCCAGGGCCCAAGCAACGCTCGCAGTTGTGATTGGCATTGGCGCAGCGGCAGCAGTGGGTGTATTGTGTAGCGAAAATAGCAATCCATGTACCAACCTCAGTTTTCTCCAGGGAGAGTGATGCTGTCCCAAGTGATTCATTGGAACTGAAAGGAAAGCTGGTCAGTCACTTGTCAACCGGCCGGACGCGCTGCTGTCCCAAACTGCATTCCCGTGTATCATGAACATGTAGTACAGCACCGGCAGCCGGCCTTTGCGACATATATCGTTCAATGTCAAACAAGCAGCAGCGCGTACGCGCGCGTGAACCTGCGTGAACTCTACGCGCCCTGGAGCCATCAACCTGCAATATCCATATCTAGCTGTCGAACGCACGCATTATTTTCACTGCAACGCTGATTCAGAGTACTTTCATGTAGAAGGTCGGCTCTCGCTGCCCAAGCGCTGAGCGGAGTACAACTTGGAGAGAACAATCCTACACGCATGGTCAATAAGATGTGGCGACGAATTGTATCAACCGAGCTCAAATCCAAACGCATCCGGAGCCTCGATCACTATTTCTAGCGTGCTTCCACTCGGTAAGGAAAAGGCGTACAAAGAGAGGTGCTGCCCACCCAAGTCCTCCATCACGGCACTCTTCACGTCTTGCCTCGCTCAAGTCGCCGAGTCCATTGAGATTTTCGGATGCCTGTCACTCCACGCATTAGCTAATAGTTGCAATAAGTGTACAATACATTGTCCCATCGTAACATACGGAAAAGATCACAACAACTAATATCCTGAAGGTCGTGCACCCGTCCGCGACGTGTCGTACGCTCTGATCAACCGCGCCTGGTCTTGACGCGCAGCATTCTCCGTTTGACTGAACGCGAACCCTCGGTTCCGCCGCATGCGCTGTACAGCTCGCACTTTCTTGATCGCCTTCTGGAATCTGGAGACTGTCTGTCAGAGCACGAGCCACATGAGAGTAATATACGTACTGTTCTTGCCGTGGTCGATAGTCGGGAATGTTGTACTTTTGGATCTCCTGCGCGATATGGTACGTTTCGGGCCGATATGTACGCCGGTAGCTATATGGTACATCAGTTACGTAGCAGTGAACACCAGATTGCAACTCACTATTTCCATGCAAAGTCTCGCGTAAGACAGAATACCGGGACAAGGACCAGCATAAAATAAAAGACTGCGTCGGTCCATAACCGAGGCACCAGACCATAATACTCGGTCGAGAAACCGATAGCGGGAGCAACGACAGCGTATAGAGGCAAGAAGACCATAGCAAAAACGAACGATCCAGGGATTGCTGTACCCGACTGGTTAATAGATGGCAAGAGCATAGAGGCACGGCCTTACCTGCAACGGTATACTTCGTCCACAGACTGTGCTGCATGTTAGCCGGTGGTGAGGGACATTTATAGGATGAACGTACTCTGATATGAGAGCAGCCTTCCCTAGGACTGTAAGCAGGACAGCCATGTACAGCATCGTTCCCCAGAACCAATGTCCAGAGTCAAGGCCCGACGACTGCTTCAGATCACCCCAGAAGAGAATGACGGAGAAGCCGAACAGGATCTACAAAGGCGCCGTGTTAGCGAGAATTTTCCGGCGGAGGAGACTTACGTACAACGCTGTGGTACAGTGCATTAGCGACCCAGAGCCAAAACGCCGTTTTGGTGAAGAACGCATTGCGCTGACCGAGCATGTACATCTGCGGATACCTGTCCAGTATTCGGGCGGAGACGAACTGATCGAAAACACCGATAACGAAGGGCGGGAGGACGGTGAAGACAACGTTGTACAAGGAGAGGGTCCACGACTCGTACACAATTTCGCCCGAGAAGCTGTTGAAGAACGAGTACTGACAAACCAGGGTCAGTCGCACGACTCGCAGATCCGCTAGACGCCGTACATACCCAGAATTGCGTCATGTACAGAACGATGTTCTTGTAGAACGAGTCTATATAGACGTCAATAGAGGACATGCGTGATTACCACTCAAAACTCACAAAGGAGAAGCTTTGACAATCGCTGGTAGCTCCACGACCCGTGCACGAGCAGCAGTTTCTTGAGAAACCGGAACTGAGAGATCGCTACATCCGCGGAACGGGCGGCTTGCAGACCCTCGAGACCAGATATACCGACGCCAACGTGGGCCGCTTGAATCATACTGACATCGTTTGCGCCATCGCCAATTGCCAAGAGAATTGACTTCTGGTTCTTCTTCACAAGCTTCACAACCAGTGCTTTCTGCAGCGGCGAGACACGACCTGAGATGACGGTGAGTCTGTCAAGTCCTCGCGAAATGCGAGTAGATGGACGACGCACAGCAGATGACGGCTTTACACATCAGTGCGAGCTCCAGAAACTGGCCCGAGATCTCCTTCTCGAGCGCAAACCCGAGACTCTTCCCATCTAGATGGTACGTCAGACAATGTAACTTGGACTGAGGCGACGAGCTCACCGATGATCAGCGCCAGATCCTCAAGCTCGCTGAGCTCTCCAGTACTCCGTTGACTCTTGATGGCAGATAGCCGCTTCGAGAGAAACTCTTGCGTGTCCAGCATCGTCTCCTCATTGACAATAATCAAGTTCATCGACTCCGAGATGAGCTTGCATGACATGCCGATGTTGATCGCAGTCTCCTGCCTGTCACCCGTCAAAACCCAGACCTACCAGCAAACTTAAGTCAGCACAAGCAGCGACAGTGAAACCTTGACAATACCGACCTTGATACCGGCCATCTGTAGAGTGTGAATGGTATCAGGCACACCGTCCTGCAATTTGTCCTCGATAGCAGTCGCCCCAAGGAGGAGCATGTCCTTCTCGATGAGCTCTGCGGCTCGGTCAAGCGCATCACCACGACCGTTGAGGGTTGCCGCAGCCTGTTCATAGATCGTAGACCACTGCCGGTACTCCGCCTCAGGGATCACGCGAGAGGCGATGCAGAGCGTCCGCAGACCCTCCGTCGCGTAGTCCTCTAGATGTACGAGAGTCTTCTCGGTGAACGGTTGGTTCTCCGCCAGTCGCTCCAGGATGACAGTATCCGCGCCTTTGCAAAAGAGTTTGATCCTACCGTCCGGGCCTCGTACGACTGTCGACATCCGCTTCCGGGTCGAGTTGAACTCGCAGATATTCAGGATCTGGTATTCATACGACGTCCCTTGAATGTTGACGAACACGGACTTCGGTTTCCGAGTCTACGGGGGACCAAACGAGTCAGTGCTGCAATGCGATAGGTCTGAACGGGAATTTACGTGAAACTGGTAGCCTAGCAATTCTGCACCGGAGACCAAAGCTGCTTCGTCCGGACTGCTTGCCTGATAGTGAAGCTTGCCATCTCGCATCTCAGGGATGACGGTGTGGCACACCGCCAAGAGGGTCAAGAACTCGTTCAGGACCTCCTTCTGACCCTGTCCAGTCGTGTCCGCAGAGCCGAAATCGCCGAAGGGGTTCTCCCCGCCACTCAAGAGCGCCTGCATTTCCGCGAAGCTTTTCCAGCCATCTTTCCCGTCTTCACCCTCAGCACGCCTGCTCTCATCGACGACATCCGCGTACGCGACACCGCCGATGGAGCAGAGTCGAAACTCCATCTCGTTGCACGTCAACGTGCCCGTCTTGTCGCTAAAGACGTACTCGATCTGTCCGAGCTCTTCCACGAGGGACGACGTCCGGCAGAGTGCGGGCGTGTCCGTCTTCGCGTAGTACATGTCGAGGTCCGAGTTGATCAACTGTGCCTGCTGGAACTTGACCACTTCCATGGTGACAATGAGCGAGATCGGGATCAAGTTGTTGTACAGAATAATGAACGTGAGGATGTCTGGGGAGTGTGAGGCTCAGTGCACGAAGAACAAATCAAGAGACAAACCTTCGATGAATTGCTTCGCTGTGGGCAATATATGTCAGATAAGATGCTATCGCTGCCCAGTTGGCACGCACCTCTGCTACCGATCGTCGACTGCTCATAGAGATACCACTCCGCAGCAGAATAGAACCACTAAGCCACGGCATGAGTGACCACCGACAGACCTTGAGGTCAGTACTCACTGCGCGAATGCTGGCACCAATGGTCGACCCGATGGACAGCGCCAGAAGGAAGATGAACAGGAATATGATATGCACGTTCACCTGCTTCTCTACAGCCGTACGTTTGATCGGTGCCGCGCTGTTCTCCGTTGTGAGTAACAATCGTCCGTCGTACACTGCATACTCACGTTGCGTTCCGCATGAGCTTCGTCTCGTGCCCCGTGAATACCACCAGTCCATATGCCCATGGCGTGTTCCGGATCTGAGCCCCTCGCAGGAGCAACTGGTCAGGGCCTAGCGGGACCTGCTTCGGTACTCCGAGGTCGGTGACCAAGTCGAGCGTACCCTCGTAGGTGTACAGGCTATTGTTTGGCTGTTCAGACCGAAGCGCACCGTGCAATGCCGTAACGAGACGCGGGGAGGTGAGGTGTGACGTTTGCGGGGAGGCCTGTCTGATCTTCAGATTCGTCTCGCTGACAGAGGTTCAGTACGGCAAGTGAATTACGGCCGCAGAGGTACGTACCCGTCCAGGTTCGATGTCTCAATGTAGCAGAAGCCCTCAGGTTCACTCGACGAGAGCAGGACAAGGTCGGCAGGAATATGGTCGTCGCTCTCTAAGCGGATGACGTCGCCGACGGCAATATTCTTCCACTTCTTGTCGACGAACGTCCCTTCTGGGGTCAGAACCTTCGCCTTCTTCGAGTTCAGTTCAGAATCGGATTGGTGTCGTTTCTGTGGTTGGGCAGTCAGATGGCGCCGTGGGACCCACAAAGACACGCGGAGGAAGGATGTACTGACCAAGTCTTCTTGAGTCTCCTTGAAAGCAGAAGCCAGTAGCACCACGGCGAGCGGTCCAATAGTCGTCCAGCGGTTCGTAGGTGATACATTGGGTATTTGCTGAATGAGTGCCGTGAAGAGGAAGAACAGGTTAGCGTATCTAGAGAATTGCTCTGTTGGGGCATGTCATGAGAACGGCGAGACGGAGGTAGAACAGGAGGTGCGCACCGAAGAGGAACTTGGGAACGAATGTGACGATGTTATATTTGCTCGTTGAAATGTAATTCGAGCAGAAGTCTGTGTTGGCGTCCGAGTTGTTGAGCGCAACGACGCGGTCACCAGCCAGGACCTGATCCCGCTTCTGCCAGGGCCATCTCAGCTTCTTGACCTGCCCCACAAACGACCGCGACGACCTCCTCTTGTGCGCTGGTTTGGCACCCTTCGCCGGACCCGGTGCGCCTGCTTGCTTGGAGCCAGGAGGCTCGTCGTCGTCGAAGGACCAGTCCGGAGGTATGGCGGCGGTCGTCAGCGTGACCTGGGAATGCCCTGCGGGTGCGGCGCCAGCACGAGAGAAGGGGAGGCCGCTCTCTTGCGATTTCATGGCGGCCGGTGCACCAAAGGCAGAGTCGGGTGGGTCGTATTCGTCTTCATCGTCAAAGAAGGGGTCGAGTTGCTGGTCAGAGGGTTGCGAGGCGGGTGGAGGGTAGCCGTTGTTGGCGGGCTGGTAGCGGGCTGCAGGGTTCGCCTGCGAGACGAGGCGGATAAAGTCGTCACTCATCGTGTCCAGCGATGAGGAGGAGGAGAAGGACGCCGAGCGCGGCGGTGAGCGTGTCGGTGAGCTGTGTCGGTGGCTGCGCGCGGCGCCAGCGACACCGACCCGACACCGAGCATCACGACCACGTGCCTCGACTCGAGTAAGTACAGACTCTCAAGATTCTGACTTGTCAAGAACACTCGCGGGCTCGAGGTGTAGGCATTGTACCGGGCTGTCCTGTCGCTGAGAAGGCATGTCCCCAAATATCTTCCTGCAACTGCATTTGTTCACTGGCATGCCTAGCTGTGGTTTCGCCGTAACCCTACTAAGTGCGAGCATATGTTGCGTATGCCACTCTCCTGCTGCCGTCGAGCGTGTCAACCTCCTAGGCATGGAATTTGGCGGCGACGGCACCGTCAGTATAAGTTTCAACCATGTCCATTCGCTGTCACGGTCGGTCTATACCGCAAACGTTGGTTACCGCACAGTCGGCGAACCAGGACCCGTTTCCTTCGCGCGACTATCATCGAAGATACGCTGGTATGATCCCTGAGGTCAAACGCTACATTGATCGCGAAAGTTCAACGCACTAACGGCGCCCGCCTCCGCGCCCGCCAAAGTAGTGGCGCACTGATTAGCAGCGGCCTGTGTGCGACTTCCATCCCAGTCCAGTGTAGCTCATATTGCGCGGCGGTTCTACGGCCAGGGCAATTTACTCACCAATCTTCTCTAACTAGATTGGGCTCACGCGAGACGTTCGTTCTACCACACCCGGGCGTCTCGGCGGCATCTCGATCGCCTTCGACCGCGCCATCCCTACTCTGGTACCCAGCCCTACCCGTTGAAATGGCCCACGCCTGCTTCCGCGAGCGTTTCGACCATACTCGATATGAGTTGGCTTCTGTTGGGCTGTGCTTCTCTGGGCCTCGCAGCGGGTCCACACAAGTCACATCTCACGCTGTCAGGGACAAGACGAGCGTGCGCAGTCGTGCTCTTTCCATTCATGCTCACCAATGTTTCAGACTTCCTCGTTTGGCGGCCGAGGTCTATAGATGGTAGGTGTTGTATGCACTACAACGATCATGGCAAGAAGGACGAGCTACGATGACAGCTAGGAACCGGGGATGTGTTTGAGCGCCCAATGACTTTACGGAAGACGTCCCTCCAACGCTCTTCGTCATGTGTGGGTTTCTCCTCCCTTGGGAAGCCACACACAGTCCTCGACGCTGTATGAGAGCGTTGGCACCCTGCTCGGCATACGGGGTATTAACAACGGCTGCGAACGTCGAGCATCCGTACCGGACGACGACTCGCTAAGATCAGCCTCAGGAACTCTTGGATTACACGGAGACAAGGGAACCAGGCTAGCTCGTACGGATCACTCTCACACTGCGCGCGCCGTGCGCCACTCTGACCGGAGACCAGCAGGGATTCTGTGCCAACCCTGAGGCCGTCTTAACCAAGGGACGACGAGCGATTTGATGCAATTGCAGTGCAGACAGGATCTGACAGCATCCAAGCACAAATATAAGACCTTGCCTCAAACTGGCTGTTCACCGCCGCTCCTGTACGATCCCTCGCGTCATGTCGAACGATAGTGCCGTCCCCGTCATCGCCGCTGAAGCGGCGCTGGTGAAGCAAGATTATGCACTCATATTTGTCGGTGCGCGATGTACCGGTCATCCGTGCCCCATTGTCACTCACTCTGCGGTTCGTAACAGCCACTTTCATCGGCCAAATACTGTTCGGCATAGTCATCGCGCAGGTAAGTATGCTATGACAGGCTCCATGTAGCACGCTGGACGTATCCACTGAGAATACACGGTAGGTTTATATATATTTTACCCGCTATAAACGGTGAGGCCGAACCACAGCGCTTTCAGAGCGTGAGCTGATACTGTTTGCCTAGCGACGCGTTATGGGTCAAGGTCTTCGTTCTGTTCTTGTTCGTCTGCGACATCTGTAGCGCCGTCTTTACGATTTGCTGGTGCGTGTCCCCAACAATTCGCTCATCCAGCGTAGCTTATACCCCCGAGCAGGATGTTCTTCCTATTCGTCTCAAACTGGGGCAATATCGCAGCCTTCTCGCAGCCTACCTGGAGTAAGCAACCGTCCGTACTCAGTCAAGTCTTTGCTGATTTTCAGCTTTTCAGTGCTGGCTACAGGTAATGGTTAATCTGCTGTAATCAGCACAGTACTAATACGGTAGTGTCTGCGCGGCTTGGCTTACAGACCCTCTGATCTTGGTACGCGGATTTGCTCTCCGCCATCACACCGTTATTCTCATATCTTCGTCAATGACTGCCATAGGGCTTGATGAGTTGTGCAACCCACTTCTTCTTTGCCAGGCGCATCAAGATCATCACGGAGAGCATCTGGCTCGCCGGGTCTATCTGCTTCTTTGGAATCGGCACACTCGGTGAGTACGTTTTATGAATATCAATACTTGTACGCTGACACGAGGCAAGCCGGTGCACTGGGCGGAACCATAGAGTTCATGCGCGTACAGTCACTCGTCGACCTCACGTCATTGAAGCCGATCGCTATCGTCTGGCTGCTCTGTGCCGCCGTTGGGGACGTGATGATCACAGTGATTCTCAGCTGGTCGCTGAAGAGAAAAAAGTCAGGCTTCAAGCGGACGGACCAGATCGTCGACAGAGTTATCAGAGGTACGTAGACTTCTATTCTATGGTCTGCCTGTTTTCCCCCCGACTGAACTATATCTTGCAGTGACGATTCAAAATGGTATGGACGTATAATAGTACTCGTTGCAAGGTCATGACCACCCCTTCAGGTTTCTTGACTGCGGCAGTAGCGACATGCGCTCTCATCCTATACCTTTCGTCGGTGCGTTCTTATCTCCGGCTCTGACTGCGCATATTCTAACATTATTCTTTCCGCAGGACATTCCGTATCATCTCGGTTTGTCCCATCATCTCCTGCGACGTAGATTGGAACGTTCAGTGTTTCCCAGCGCTGTCGCTCGTTCTGCCGCGAATGTACTCAAACTCGATTCTCTCGTCACTCAACTATCGCGACGTTATGCATCCTGATTCTTCGACTGACCGTGGTGCAAGCGGCATCAGTTTCGCTGCGGCTAGTGCTTCGCGACGAGGTGTACGTCCCCTTTCCTATATTGGAGTCCTGACCATCCTAAATAGCCCTCTAGCAGCAAACCGAAGTAGTTGTGCACGTCGAGGCGCACGAGCTCACTGAGGCAACAAAGAGCGACGGCGATTGGGACGTACCCAGCAAGACCCACTCCGTTTGATGTAGTCTTGGTGCTTGATCATTCGACCTCTCTCAATTACTGAATATCAACTTCGTACTCTCTGTAATGTCGGATACTTGTGGTACTGTCCTACGTTGATGCAATAGTACCATCTGATGTTCCAGCGTACGCATATCTCGCAGCAGCCATTGTTTCCCTGTGGACTCGGTTCCAATTACCTGGCTCTGATGACGAGCATCAAACGTCTGAGCAACGCAGTTGAGAGGCATGTCATTGTATGTAGTATAGGACGAGAGCCGCCGTCACCGTACCGTACCAATGTTAGAAGGGCTGCCTAAGCGCAGTGAGCTTCCATGACTGTCGAATGGCATGAGCCATGGCGACATCATAACAAAATCACTAATATACGGAGGACGGCCAGCAGCCTCAGGCTGAGCTGCGTCTCACGTGCAGTAGTATGATGATGATGAACTCTGCACTTATATTCCGCAACAAGCAAACTCTAATGGTGATAAGACGCGGCGGGCGGTGGCACCCCGGTCGACTCTATGTATGTACGAGGTAGTGTAGTATGTGTATGTAGTAATGGGGGGGGCGACACGTGCAGTAGTAGGTATCGATGTGTGCTCGAAATACACGAATACTCGCGCTGCAGCTACAGCAAGCCATTTCAAACGGTAGAAGTCGACCACTCCGGACGCCGGAGAGGCGTCGCTGGACAGCAGTGTCGGGGCGGCTAGATATGGGCTCTTTTACAACGGTGGTCAATCGAAACTGCCTCCAATGGTGTGAATGGCCATATACGCCTCCGAGATGCCTCTGTGTGCCTGGTCTGATAAGGACACATGCGGCACTGGGTCTGTGTTCGTCCGCCGCTGTGTTGTCCAGCCCGACTCCTTGATGCACAGACGTTTGGACATGAATATGGTATGTAATACGACGGTGCGGGGCGATAGAAATGCAGGGTTCAATGTCTTCGCGCACACAGCTGACTACGTGCTCGTCTTGATGTCGCTCCAGCGCTTCAATCTCCTGCAGTGAGGATTACCGTACGAGGCCAGCTCTGAGGCACAACTCTGACGTGGTCCGGGGTAAATCTTTGCCGCAAGAGCTCAGGGGAGCCAGCAGGACGAAGTCGAGATATAGCGAGAAAGTGGCAGCGCTGGCAGCTAAGGAACAAGCATCCGCGGGACTGGTTGACGGGACGGTCCGACGAAGGCTAAGAAGAGCAATCAGCGGCACCTCAGCTCGCGAAAGGCAACAATACCGGCATGATCACCATGATCTACGCGAGGTTCTCATTATGTGTCGGAGGGAGACATCTTTCCACACCGCACCCAACAATTGAGTCGAATCAACAACCCGAATTGCACCTCTAAGGCAACTTGTACATGCGTGCGAGAATGAAAGAGGGCATCTAGCCCCGCAAAAACAAGAGCACAATCACACCGCATGGGTCTTACCAGATAACTCCCAGTCGCGTTCACTTTTGGTTGCGTCCGCCAGCTCATGCGCTTCGACATGAACTACCACTTCCGTTTGCTGCTGGCGGGAGCATCAACACTAGCAGGTTCCAGTTAATAGAACAGATAGACTTACTGTTCGTCGCAATCCATTCGAGAGACTGCTTGCACCACCATATTCATTGGTGGCATCGGTCTTGGAAACATCTCGGTAATTGAACGAAGATAGCATCGTGTTTGAATACATTCGCGGCAACACGAGTGACAAGGCTAGAATCAAGTCAGCACAATGACCGGCCAATGGCAAAACATTTGCCACGAACCGAGATGATACGGGATATCCTGCAGAGACACTGTTAGCGCTCCACATATAGCGTCGTTCTGAAAACTCACTGTCGAGAGATATAGGACAAGAGCGGCCGTCGCCATCAATGACGTGAGAAGACCTGGTCATGGTTCAAGCACGATCATGTTACGGCTCGTCATGGAGCATACCGTTCTGGACTGTCACTGCAGAAAACGGTTGAGTCTCGAGTACCCTGCCGCAGTGAGATTAGGCTTACCTCTAATCACTCTGTCAACGAGTTGATCCGTCCTTTGGAATCCGGACTTCCTCTTTCTAAGAGACCAGCTCATGATGAGGGTGATCGTCACGTCGCCCACCGCAGCAAAGAGCAGCCATACTATAGCGATTGGCTTCAATGACGTGAGGTCAGCAAGAGACGACACTTGCAGGAACGATATCATCGCAGCCAGAGCACCAGCTATGGGAGTGTCAATGACAGAGATTTTATGATGATAGAAGAATCTGTGCTTACCAAGTGTCCCGAGACCGAAGATACAGATGATGCCGGCGAGCCAAATGTTCCCAGTGATGACATAAATGCGCCTGGCGAAGAAAAAGTGTGTCGCACAGGTCATCAGTCCCTGCGGCGGCTATGGTCAAAAATATCTGTATCACATCAAGTCCGAAGTCTGACTCACTAAGATGAGAGGATCTGCAGAACATCAGGATGATCTCGTAAGCAATGTACAGTCTGTTGAAGAGAATGGGTACCTGTGGAGAGCACTGGAGACGTCCACGGTCAATGCGGTCTATCGGGACACGGATACGCATTTTGCTTACTCCATGTCGTCTGAGAGAAGGCCACGAGGTCTCCCCAGTGCGATATGAACAAGAAGTACATCCTGTGAGGTCTAAATATAAAGACCATTACGAGTGAATTAGTCCACGCACCAAGCGATTGTGAATATGGCGCTGCAAACATCGCAGAGGAAAATGAAGAATACGACTAGCTTCATCCATCCAGGATCGCTAGTGTGAGATACTTATCAATAGAAATCCTCACAGCACGGTGCTTTACACTCACCTCCGGTAACGAGTGTAGTAAATGTAGACCTTCCGTACCCGTTAGTAAAGCACCATTATCAGAGTATCACTTCAACCCGGCGGACCTGAGCGACGACAATGCCAAAGAGGATTTGCCCGATGAATGACGCTGCGGTCAAGTTTCAGGCTCAGAATGATAAAACAAGGGGAACAAGGACGTACCGACGAAAATGAGCGAAAATTGTTCTTGGACAACCGCGGCCTCCGCGGCGATTTTAGCGGTTGCGCTGGGGTCGGCCATAACTTACCAAAGTCCCTGGTCAGCGTGTCTCACGAAGGAGGCTGGTTTTGCTTACCTGCCGTTCCCCGTACTTAAGCACGTCGACCTCGTACGCATTGATGGAGGATCTGGAGTCGCACGCTTCCAATCTGCGCGGAGACGACTTGATCGGTGTATAGCGTGTTGCGATGGCTTCTTCAGGGATTGCGGCACTCGACCGGCTTGATTCAATAGAGAGGAACCCCACGTCGATGCGGAGATGTGAAACTGTCCGTATATAGCTGTAGCCGAGTGAAACGCCACTGGGACTACTTATTGTCACTCCAACCAGTAGACGTGTAGTGGTAGTTGAAGACGAATACCAGTTGGTTCGCTTCGCAGCCCCGGAGGAACCATAGAATCCGTTAACGGCCCGTATTGAGACCGTCTTACGCAGCGCTCTTGTGTGTAGGTAGTCCTGGCGTGAGACTAGCCACAGTGTGACACTGACAGTAGTGTATACGGCCATCAGCACGCATCCGCCAACAGGTTCGCTACCACCGCGTACTTACGACTGCGCCGGTGTACTAGTCTTCAAGCCGGGCCCATCCTTTGTTTCGAACAGCGGGATCGCTTAGAGGCACTGGTGCGACGCTGATCCATCACGGAGAAATCTTCGGACGGTTCATACTGTCACGATATGATAAAGTTGTCCTGTACTGGAGTTAGCAACACAAGCGGTGATACAGAAAGCACTTGTACCTGATTCCAGGAGCGTTCCGACTTCCCACAAGCGGCGGAGGTGTGTGTGATCTTGCAATGCTCAATGCTCCCAACCGCGGCGTTGCACTAGACCCAACATGTGATGGTCGTTCCTGGGCGTCGATCAGAAGCCAGAGCCTGCCATAAGATGGCTCCAGGCGGTTGGACACACTCACTTTGCCCGTTCATCGCCCACTACTCAGTATGTCTCGCATCGCTATCGTCACAGGCGCCGCTCAGGGTATCGGCGAGGCCATCGCGCTTCGCCTTGCCGCTGATGGACTCGATGTCGTGGTCAGCGATCTGCCTGCGAAGAGCGAACAATTGGCCTCGGTGGTGAAGCGCATCGAAGACGTTGGACAACGTGCCTTGGCCTTTCCCTGCAATGTTTCCGAAGAGAAAGACGTTATTGCTCTGGTCGACAAGACGGTCGCGACCTTCGGCAGGCTCGACGTGGTGAGTTTGCAGTCACCAACGGCATAGTATGTCAGCTAACACTCACGTTGCAGATGGTCGCGAATGCCGGGATAGGCATGTTCAAGCCAGTGTTCGACAGTACGCTACCACCTTACTTAGAAACTCTTCTTCGTGAAAGTAATGTTTGGCGACGTAGCTTCGGTGGACGACCTGGACACTATCTTGTCAATCAATGTGCGCGGGGTCATGCTATCCTACAAATATGCCGCCATGCAAATGGTAAAACAAGGCGACGGTGGAAGGATCATCGGTGAGATTGTCATCGCTTCCGTGACCATGACTATCGATATTGAAGGCAAGTCCTTGTAGGGGCGTCCTCTGGAGCAGCAAAGAAGGGTACGTCAGCATGTTATCGTCAGCTAAGATTGTTCGCGGATTGATGTCGACATTGGGGGACAGCTATTCCCAACATGGGCGCGTACAGTGCCTCCAAGTTTGCCGTACGGGGCTTGACGCAGGCTTGTGGTACGTGGTACACGTTTGATCTGCGATATCATTTGTTGCTTACACCCTGGTAAACAGCGGCTGAATGGAGGAGGCATAAGATCACCGTCAATACGTACGCACCGGGCAGTATTCTGACAGCGATGGGTGAGTCTAACGTCTCACAGAGACCTACCTGACCCTGACCCACCTTCGTAGTCTTGCACCCTGACGACGCGAAGAACGGCGGCCCTGCGTCCACCGCAAAACTGGTGAGTACCACGCATCGAACATAGCCATTCGACGCTTACCGATCACGGCCTAGGCCACGGGACTGCCTCTGGATACGCCGGACGCACAACCGATCGTCATCGCCGACTTCGTGTCGTACCTCATTCGCCCGGATTCGTATCATATCACTGGTATGATTGTCGGACAACAGTGTAATCACTTTGCTGACTGAGCACACAGGCCAATCTGTGAACATCGACGGCGGGTTGAACTACGACTGATCGAGATCGTGGTTGTCGGTCCAAGTGGTGCGGCATCACTTTTCATCCATTTGCCCGACATCACTGCAATGTCCTACGCGGTGACATACACGCGTACCTATACCTTTGTAGTCCACGTTTCAGTATTTCTATCTCAACATTATAGATCACACACGTACGTCCAGAAGTTATGAGCGACTTCTAAGCATAACAGCAGAGTCAGTACTATGACCACTTGGCGTAAACAATCAGCAGTCAAACTAGTCTTGCCCCGCTGAAGTGACCTGGAAATAAGAATAGATCCTATGCTACAATACACACGACATATCACAACTTCATGAGCGCCTTCATCCCATTCGCGACCGCGAAGCTCGACTTCGCCATGACCTGCCTGGCCTCCTTCGTGACCTCAGCCTGTGCCTGCACTTCGCTGAGACGATTCGCATGTTCGCCGAGCTCGCGCAGGATCTCCTCACCCTGCTGCATGGATGCCGGTGGTAAGTTGTCTTTGCAGACGGCGACGATACTCGACACGATGGTTATGATCTGCGTCAAATTCTCGTTGAGCGTCGGAGGCGGTGTGGGACTCCGTACCCCCGATAGCACGCTTTGGATGGCGTAGACAATCGACTCTGTCTGCGCTTCGAGGTACGGCTACAGAAGTAGACGTCAGCGACCGGACGGCACAGCTCAAGGACAAGCACATCAAGGACGAGCACACCTTCAATTCCGCCCATGCATCCTCCGGACCTTCTGGCGGAGCGGACTCGCCGCTCGTCCTCCCACCCGTACTATGCGAAGCCGGCACTCTGTCGAATATAGGCGGAGGTGAGTTCGTCAATGAGCTCCCCCTACTAGGCGGCGACACCCTCCGGTCCTCCATGAGTCTCGTAGACGACATGCTCGACGACCCCGCCAAGTCGCCGAAGCGGTTCGCCTGCGACGAGTACGAGCGCGAACTTGCACTGCTGTACCCGCGCGAGTGCACCGGGCGGCCCTCGTCGACAGAGCGCAGGGCGGGCGAGAACCCGTTCGTCGCGCTCGTGTTCTGAGACACGGCGAACTGGTCTTGCTCGGCTCGGGACGCTTTGCGAACGAGAACCAGCTTGCCAATCTCTGTCACCGTCGAAGAGACATGACTCGCGGCGGCGTCGAGTAGGCTGACAGGCGACATGCCAGAACTCGTAGCATGTGTCTTGGAGGCCACGACGAGGTTGCTCAGTGTGGCCTCGAGACGTTCTCGGAGGATGCGCAGCGAGTCAATGTCAAAGTCTCTACGCGCTCGTCTCTCGTATGCTTTGATGTCCTCGATAATCGCTGTGACAGCATTGACGACCGACTTCATGGGTGTGAGCACACGCGTCGGTGCGTTCGAACGACCCGCAGTGAGAAGACCGTCGATGGCACTGAGGAAGGCAGTGACGTGGATGTCGACCAAGCCACCGTCCTGTGCAACAGGCAGCTGGTCATCGGTCTTCGGTGTTTGCAGGAATAGCTGCGAGGTTGCTGCAGCAAGGTCAGTGATGACAGACAAATACGTAGCGGATAGACTCACCCTTGACGCTCCGAAGCTCCGTCTTTGCCTGTTCATACTTCCTCTTGTACTCCTTCAGCTGGGCATCGAGGTCGCGAATGACCGCAAGATCTGCATCCTTCGCCGTCATCAACTCGTCGTTGCGCTTCGACAAGTCTGATAGCTCAATGACGAGGCCCTCCATATCGGAACGTAATTGGTCGAGGATCTCTGCATTTCCCTAGGCGAAGAGATGTTCGATTGCTGGATTGTTGTGGTGAGATAGTGGCGTACCTGTCTGCCTCCACCGCGCTCTTCCTCCAGCCGTTCGCAGCGTTCCCGGAGTATCTGGAGCTCTTCCTCATCATCCCTCGCTCGTCTCCCCGCAGCGTCTTGTTCCCGTGCTCGTTCTTGTCTGAGGGTCTCTAGCTCTTGCTGCATGGTGAACATCCCCGTCGTCTTGTCTTCCATCCGCTGTAGCCGGGCGTCAGCGACCGACCTCCCACATCGCGCAGAATACGCACCTGCCGTAACTCTCGCAGCTCATCCTCCACTGCCCTCACCCTCTCTTCGCCCTTTGTCCAGATTCGCTCCTTCTCACGGGCGTCCTCAACCTCCCTCTCCAGGCCTGTGATGCGCTGCTGCATCGTCGCGACCTTGAATTCATACTCCCGCCTCAGCTCCTCCTCCGCACCCACGCTCATCCTCCCGCCCCTCGCGAAACTCCGATCGCTGGTGGCGCTCGCCCGGCCCAGGCTCATCTTGTCAAAGTAGTCCTCCCCGCTGCGCCCTGCTTCCGAGTCCTCGTCTCCGACCGCCTGTAGCCTCGCGCTCAGCGCCGCCAGTCCGCCCGGGCGGCGATCCACCTCCTCCGTATCGTCCTCCCCATAGTCGCTGCGGTCCTCGTCGCCGACGCGCGACCCTCTCGGTGCGCGCTCGCGCTCGCGGTCCCGCGCCGTGCTCCCGCTGTCCCGCACCTCGCGTCCGTACGGCACCTCGATCTCCTCCTCCGCGATGGTGCTCTTGTTCGGAATGATCATCCCCATGCCTGCCGTCGCGCTCTGCGCATTCGACGCGTTGCTGCCCTCGCTCTCACTCGGACGCCGATTCACCGACGCGCCCCCGACCACGCCATATCCCGTCGTGTCCTGGCTCGGTTTTCGCCGGTCGGTCCGGATGTCTTGTGATGGTTTCCGGCGTACGCCACCGACCGCAGCGGCGGCACCGAAGCCCTCGACCCCACCGTAGGCATCGGCGCTTTTTCGGCCGGAGGAGAAGTTGTCGGATGGTCGTCTTCGCGAGGAGGGGCTGGCATATCCATTCGCTCTGTCTTCGGATGCGCGTGCATTACTGGGTAGATCGCGGGCGGCCATGGCAGGGGTCCGGGCGTTGTTGGGGAAGTCGGGTGATGGGTAGTCGTCATAGGCTGAGGCAGGGGACACGACGTCCTGTTCCATCTACGGTGAGGAGATACATAAGATGAGGTGCGGTGACACGCCGGGGGTGCTCACCTCCTCCTTGAACTCGGGGTATCTTCTGGATAGCTCATAATAAACATCGCTTGATAGATCCTTGAATCGGCCGGTCGGCAGTGTGGCGAGCTTCTGGCGGGCCTGATTCCGCTTTGGATGAAAGTCGTCTCGTACGGGGAGGAAGGGGACTGTGGCGAATGAGGGTCATGTTAGGAAGAGAGTAGCTAGTGCACGCACCGTCGTTGTTACTAGAGTTGTTCTTCCTGCGCAGCAGCTCATCATAGACATCGGTGGACAGTTCCTGGAATTGCTGGCGCGTGAGGCGGGTAAGCTTTTGCCTCGCAGTCGCGCGCGAATTAACAGGCTCTGAGGATGCTCAGTCGGTGTGAGAGTTCGTCGAGAAGGCGGTGGGACTGACCGTTTGCTAAATAGCTAGCGAGGTATTTGTTGAGTTCCAAGAAGTGTGCACGGGCTATATCGCGAGGGTCGGTAGAGAGAGGGCTGGAAGGAGGGTTGATTGGGCGGTAGGAGTCTGTGCGGTAGTTGGAGAATCCGGAGTAGGTTGTGTTGGTGGGCGAGGGGCCGCGCGAGACCCCGGAGCGTCTCATGGCGGAGTGCCGAGGGCAGCACCGTCTGCGTGGACGCTGGCAGTGAAAGAGAGCCTGGCTGAGACTCCGAGTGAGAGAGCCTGCAGCTGGGTGCTGCAGTGCTAGCGCTGCGAAACCTCCCCTCGCAGGACTCCTCCTAACGTCGCGCCCTCCTTTCCCACGCCACAACGCCAACTCGACCGTCTCCGACTCGTAGTCTGAGGGACTCTATGCCGCATCTGCGCACGCCCTGGCTGTATACGCTGAACGGGCCCTTGTGCACCAAGTTGCGTGTATCCGAGATGTTGAACTTCAACTGTTTTAGGTGTTATCACACGGGATAGGACTTATCCTTACCTGTTATGGACTTATGTTCTACTATGCTACATATTACGTACATTCTTTTCGGATTTGTTCCAGACCTGTAGCACATGATTAGATCTAGACCCTGATGGAACATTCCACTGCTTTCCATCATGTTCCAGCACATTCCTTGATTGCATCGTATTGCATCATTGAGCACATCGCTGTTCCAGTCCTTTCCATGACATTCCATTCATGATGCAATATCGCCTCATCCTTGTGTATTCGCTCATTGCATCATATCGCTCCGTTATGACTCTACGCTGTTACGCTTACTGTACGATCATGTGATGGCTCTCTCATGTGTATATATACCGGGCTGGATACGCCCTAGAATGTAACGGTCTCTCCTCTCGTCTTAACGCCTCTGAGTCTTCCCTCTCAGCTCTTAAGAGATCTGTTGTAAGTCCTCCTTTACTACAGTGCTCTTTGTGCTCCTGTAGTATTCTTTTGTAGCCTTGCCTCAGGCTAGCCACACCACTCCTTGTTCATCAGGTTATGAGCCCTGGTCACTGACCAGCTCCCTGTACAGTGCGCACTACTGTTGTTTAAAGTCCTACTTCTTCAAGGAGTAAGTTAGGCACCGTTTGCTGTCCTTTTGGACTGAGTTTGACGTCTCAAGGACACAGTGCCCAAGGCCTTGTCAGAGCGTCTCTCCAGGGTAGCTCGAAAGAGCGATTTTAAAGTTTATCCTCCGGCCAAACCTGAGAGAAAGGTTGGTCCGACGCCGACACTATCTACCTCTGATCTTCGGATCTAACGTTTTCTTGATCCCAGTCCCATCCGCTCCCAGTTCGCCCCACCTCTGCCTCCACCTCTGCACCTAAGCCTTTGGCTGAACGTCTCTCTGCGCCTCGTCCTCTCCCTGACTTCAAGCGAAAGTCCGCTGAAGACGCCAAAGGTATCCTTCTCAAGAAGGTACACGCCACCGCCGATCGTTTCCAAGCGATCTTCGACAAGAAACACCTCTTCGATCGTCTCGACGGCGAATCTCAGAAGGCTCTTCATCGTCTCGCCGACCAACTCAATTGGGTCGACGACAACATCGACAAGGTCTCTACCTGGTCGAAGGAGCAGCGCGAGAGAATTTCGTGGGCTTGCAAGCAGGTTGGGCGCGTCGAGTTTTCGACGGATACAGAGTCGCTCGCTCGTAGGTACCGCAAGGTAGCCAGGGAGCTTACGCTAGTCTCTGACGGCGGATATCTGGACTGGATCGTTTTGTAGAACTTTGGTCGGCGTACCAATACGTTTAAATACCTGGAATATTAGTTTGTTAAGCATCACATTGTGGCTTCGTCTGAGCATCACTCGGACATCAGCGAACATAGTAGTGGTGAAACACCCTACGATTGTACCGGTCATCATCATCTATTCGATTATCAGGAAGTCTACGACTATCACTATCGTCCTGAGGAAGCTGAGTGGAACGCTTGCGACGAAAACCACTGTCCTCATCGTTACGACGTTCCTGATTACACACCGCCAGGTAACACTTGGGGTGGCATACCGGTTGCTTCCTGGCAGGAAGATTTTATATTCGCTAACTCGTTTTCGGAGGCATCTTCTCCTCCTGGTCCTGAACACGTTGCAAGGCTACCGTCGCCAAGCAGCACCGTTTACTCTCCTCTCACTCCCCTCTCTGAAGTTTCGTTTGAGGCTCCCCTAGAGCCAATTGTTTTTGAGTCCGAAGAATTTAACGAGTTTATTCTTCTGACAACCACTATGGGAGACGTCAAGCCCGACGCTATTCCCGTGCTTGCCCAAGCGTCTCAGTACGCTAATTGGTCGGCTGCCATGCGCGGCTACCTCACGTTTATAGAAGCCTGGCCTGCTATTGCTCCGGGTACCACCACGGATTAGTGCGTTGCAGGGGTAGGGTCAACCCGCAGGGGTCACGGGTAGGGGTACACGAGGGTAGGGGTACGGGTAGCCATTTCCGTACCCGTGTACCCGCCAGTTACCCTTTATGGAAAGTCACGCTGCCGGCCTTCGGGCGACTCACCACCTGCTCAGATTTCGATCTGGGGCTATTACCGTTTGTAGCCAGCCCGCTCAGGTCCCGGTAGAATAAATATACATTTTTCGCAATTGGAATGCTGCCGTAAGCTTCAGTAACCATCAGGGACCCCACAAGCCATTGCCTTGTCCTCCTCCTCCCACTCCCTCACTCGCCCAACATGTCCGGCACCCGTGTCAGCAAGAGACCCAAGATAGCTTCTGAAAAGCGGAGGGCCGCCGAGTCACCGACGAGAGCTGTGAAGACGTCAAAGAAGCCACGTACCGATAGTGTTGACGCTCAGCCGAGCGCCAGCAGCAGCCGCCGTGAGCCATTGGCAGCGAGCGCAGGGGCTTCGGGGGTGAGCGCAGCTACTTCGGTGGCAAGCGCAGGGTCTGCAGCAACGAGTGCGCACCGTTTGACGGCCAGCGCGCACCGTTCGACAGCCAGCGCGCGGACGCCCACACGGCGCTCTGTTGAGATTGAAGACGTCGAAGACGTTGATGATAGCATTTCGAAAGGGAAGGGACACAAACCGATTGAGATTGGGTCGTCGAGCGAGTCTGGTGAGGAAAGCAGTGGGACCGAGACAGACAAAGGTGGCGAAGACCTCGCCGAAGAGACTGCAGAGCAGGAGCTAGGCAAGTGGTCAGCAGGAACTCACCATAGAGAACAATACTCACCTTACTAATACAGCGCGCATGCGGCGCAAGTGGACGGCGCCGGTGTACGCGTTCTTCAAGCCTGACCCCACCATCGCGTACATCGACAGACGACGTGTGCACGTCTTCCGATGCGCAAACTCTGGTTGCAAGCACGATGTAAGACGGTACTTGGAGTCGAAGGATGCAACGTCAACAGGTAACCTGAGAAAGCACGCACGGAAATGCTGGGGAGAGGAAGCTCTTGCAGCGGCCGATCGGATGTCGACAGCCTCGAAAGCCAAGGATAGTGTTGAGAAGTATCGACGGACACAGAACCTTAAGATCGCGTTCGGCGCGGCGAGCAAGAAGACCTTCAAATATTCCACTGTTCAGCATACACCAACGGAAACTCGGTGAGCCAATAATGCACTTACCCGGTGGAACAACCCGTCTAAAACGTTGCCAAGCGCGGAGATTGTGCGTTGGGTGGCTGAGAGCATGCGGCCCTTCAACATAGTGAAGGACCGCGGGTTCGAGAGCTTGATCAAGACGGGCCGGCCCGAGTACAAGTTGCCGTCGCCTACGACGGTTGGGCGTGATGTGCGGAAGGTGTTCCTCCGTGTGTGTGATCGTATTGCGCGCTGGTTGCAGGTAAGCAATCATGAGATCTATCCGATCATAGATATAGACGTACCGATAGGAATATGACGGCGAGTTGAATTTTGCTACGGACGCCTGGACCTCGCCGAACCAAAAGGCGATGGTAGCCTTCACTGTGCACTTCGAGCACAACGGTGCTCCGATGACGATGGTACTTGATGTTGTTGAGGTCGCAGTGTCCCATAGCGGACTCAACCTCGCAACAGCCTTCTCCGACTTGATTCACGATCTTAAGCTAGATGCGAAGGTGAGCACAATCATGACATGCAAGGAAGTTGCTTCTATTTCGAGACTCACCTTTGCGAGCAGATGCTCGCGGTCACTTGTGACAACGCGTCGGCGAATGATGTCATGGTTGAGGAGATGGAGATGATGATCTTGTCGTTCCGGGGCGGCCGCGCGCGCAGCCGTTGCTTCTGTCATATTATTAACCTAGTTGCCAAGATGGTTCTTCGTCAGTTCGAGCCGCCCAAAAGGAAGAAGAAGAAAGGATCAGATGCGCACCTTGACGAAGACGACGATCCCGACCTCACAGACTGGGACAAGGAACTGCAAAGCCTCATGGACGACCTCGACTTCGATGATGAGGACGAGGGCATGCCAGGCACCGACTCGGTAGACGGCTTCTACGACGTTCGGGACGATCTTGACGCTGCGAGCCGAGCGAGGATGGAAGCCGAGGTTAGGCCCGTAAAGATGATGCTGCTAAAGGTGAGTTCGTCCAGTAAGCACGAGGTAAAGTCAGCTGCTCACCCTGGTATGAACACCTCCGAAGCTCCGAAAGATTTCCATCTCCATACACCGCTCGACGACGCTCCTGCTCCCGGCGTGGAGGAAGCTCCTTGAAGAAATGAAGCTGGCCATTCGCAAGCTTCCCCGCGACGTCCGCACGCGGTGGAACTCCACGTTTCGAATGTTGGATGTTGCACTGACGTATAGAGGTGCGATCGAGAAGATGACGGAGGCGCAGGTGAACAACCTGCGCCAGTGGGAGCTGGACGAAAGAGAGTGGAAGATTGCCGCGCAACTGCGTGACATCCTGCAGGCAAGTCACCGTCAGTCACATTGTGGGTCCAGCGTTGACTTACCAAATGCGTTGAACAATGCCTCTTCGGGACGGCTGTGCGCTCGTGCTCGCGCTCTTGTTCCCATACATCCCACTGCTGCTGCCAACTTGCTCTGCTGATCCTCTGTCCCGCCGCCACCGACTTGCACCTTGCCGTCCACTGCCAACTCGTCATCGCACCATCAATCCCAATCGCGACATCGACTCACCTACCAGGTGTTCTACGACGCGACACAGTTCTTCTCACGCGAGGGCAAGGATGCTCCTGACCTCACGGACGTGATCCCCGCCATGGACATCATCGACCAACGCCTTGCAACTGAGGCTCTCAATCAAACGCTTGACCCCGCCATCCGCGTCGCGTTAGGTCTGGGCAAGCGGGCGATCAATCGCTA